GATCCAGAACTCAGGAAGAAATTCCAATCAGTAATTGGATCTCTTCTCTTCATCATGCTAGGCACACGACCTGACATTGCATTTGCTGTGACCAAATTGTCACAATTTGCCGCCAATCCATCCCAAGACCACCTCCATAAAGCGCTGTATATCTGCCGCTATTTGGCTGGTACTAGGAATTATTCGCTCATTTTCAATGGTGCGACGGATAGAGGGCTAATTGCATTTAGCGATTCAGACTGGGCTGCTGATCCGATCAAGAGGAGGTCTACCACTGGTTTCTTCACAAAATTGGCAGACGGGATCATTTGCTGGCAGTCTAGACTTCAGCGTACTGTTGCGCAGTCTTCGACCGAAGCAGAGTACATGGCGATCTCAGATTGTAGTCGCCAGGTGATGTGGCTGAAGAGCGTCCTTTCGGAACTCCAGTTCAAGCTCACCATCCCAGTACCCATTTGCGGTGACAATCAGGGTGCACTCTTCAGTGGCAGCAATGCCTACCGAGACCGCAGGATGAAACACATAGACATCCGCTATCACTACATTCGTGAGCGAGTCGAGGAAGAAGAGGTTGAACTGTTCTTTATTCCGGGCAGTGAGAATCCTGCAGATATGTTCACCAAGAACCTAGGACGCGTCAAGTTCGAGAAGTTCAGATCTCAACTAGGACTTGAGTTCAACTCGTCCTGAAGGAATGGCCGATGAAGATTTCGCTTTCAAACACTATCCCGTGGTTTTCAGCGTGGGGGAGTGTTGATCAAATGATGATCTTATCGTCTGCCAGATGGATGTCGTGATACACATCTATGACTCCATCACGTGTCATCTAGAGTCATATCGACTCGTCCCAAATAGACACAAACGGCCCCCTGTATCATATATAAGGAGGGCTCTATTACCCTTTAATACAAGTCTCTTGACTACTCCCGCATAGTGCCCACACTAAGCTCTCACTCACACAGGTGAGCTGCTAGACGCTCTCCCCAGTGCTCAACAACATACTCTGGAATCGTCAGACAGGTTGCAAGAGCAAGCAATTATGAAACCGGTAGACTCGACCGGTCAATTCTGTGGCGACTGGCTGAATGTCGGCGTGTTGCTTCGCCCGATCGCGTGTGCGTACGGAGGTAGAACTAGTGTCCACGGAGGTTTTAAAGTTTTGACGCCGGGGTCAGCAGATTCATGAAGTTGCTTCTTCGTTGTGCACGGACTCGGAGACGCCCTACTTTGGCTGGAAAGTCAGCTCGGTTGTCCGGATCGGACACTCAATTTTTTGCCGAATACCCCATGTCACTCATCGAAGCCGTCACGCCTCGCGTCTCTTCACCGCCACTCCGAACAGCGATCTTCTCCGTTATGATCTCAGCCCGCAGGTGCTCGACGACGACTCTTCTCGCATGCTGCGCAGAGCCGCGAACCTGGTGAGCCCGCCCTCCCTCGAGCCTGGGGATGCTGGCTCGGCGCGTCGTCTCGGACGCAAGATCAGACGAAGTCTTCGCCGTATCACACGTTCGAAGTCCCCAGCAAACGGCTCCCATGCGCGAAACGGACGGTCGCCCTCGAGTACAGACGACACGATTCCTCAGGTACTGCAAGAGGGCGTGATGTTGACGAAGATTTCTGCGAATAAGCAGAGAACAATGCTCTTCCGCTTGGATCCCACACGCGGGCAACTGATTTGGGAGTCCAAAGTCACGAAATATAGTACGTCCAGGACCCCCTTCATGGTCCGATCTCTCACGTCCCCAATCAAGTCTCGATTGACGCTATCCGCTACGTTCGCGCCGGCCCAGAAACCAAACTATACCGCGACTCGTTACAAGTGTCGGATCCCGATTGCGAAGACCGTTGGATAACGCTCATTTATATGATCAACTCCACCAATAAGACAATGCACCTTCTTGCGCCGACTAAGGACATCATGGATATGTGGCTCGCAGGACTGCGCAAGGTCCACCTCCTCCAGACAGAGTTGATGAGCGGCCTGACGCAAGGGGAACTACTAGAGGTGGTGTGGGAGAGACATTACTGGAACGGGAAGGGATTCAATTTCGACGATGTCGTGCGTCTGTGTGCCCGATTGAACGGGGGATGGAACGAGGAAGAGGTGCAACGATTGTTCCAAGTTCGTACCTCTCCGATGCGGCGGATATCCCCCTTTCTCATCGTCTCGTAGCTTTCCGACTCAAGTTCACGTGGACTGCTTGACATTGACGACTTTAGTCGGTTCGCCAAGCTGCTCAAAGCGCGACCTGATATCGCACGAATCTATAAGCGATTGGTCGGTGCCCGCCCGTGCTTCGACTTGGGGGTCTTCACAGAGTTTATGGGAGTCCAGCACGACGTTCGTCCATTTAATGTATCATATCCGTGTACTGACTCTCTTACAGTCTCGACTGAGCCCTCTGCCATTAGAGGCTCTTTTCGAGGCTTACGCGGACAAGTCTGTCTTGTCCGTTCCATGCATCTCGTTGGAATCTTTCTCCGCCTTTCTCTTATCGGCAGACAACTCGTGCTTCGCTGATGAGCCAGAGAAAGCGCAGGAAAGCAGGTCTTCCCACCATCACTACCACCACCATCACCAACCGCCTCCGAACACACTGGGCCTCATGGTCGAGTCAGAGCCGTATGACGGAATCTCCGGGACCGGAACGTCCCACGAAATGACGCGGCCGCTTCCCGAATACTTTATCTCGTCTTCCCACAACACTTATCTTCTCGGCCATCAGCTGGTCGGGCAGAGCACCATCGAAGGCTATGTGCGAGCCCTCCAGGCAGGATGCCGATCTGTCGAGTGTTAGTTTGTTAGGCGTCTGTCTCTCATGGATCTGTTGTTCTGACCAGGCAACAGTGGACATCTTTCCAGGAACCCCATCTCCGGTTGTGACCCATGGCAACACTCTCACGACCAAGATACCATTACAGTTGGTCTGCGAAGCCATCAACCAACACGCGTTCGAGACGTCACCCTATCCCGTAATCATCTCTGCGGAGATCCACTGCCCAGTCGCTCAGCAGGAGATGATCGCACAGATCATGTCGGATGTGTTTGGAGACAAGCTGGTGCAAGCATCCATCGATTCTCGCCCCACCTTCGATGAGCTGCCCAGTCCGCACGATTTGCGGGGGCGCATCCTAGTCAAGACGAAGAACATCTACATCTCGCGTGATGATCCACTCGGGATAGATCTGCCCCGGGATGTCAGCTACACTTCGGCCGATTCCACGGCGGATGATTCGGAGCTGAATGGAAACGAATCCGGTTAGTTGTAACTCACAACATGTCTTCCACTTGCTCAACCTCCCAAGATAACAAGCGGGAGTCGCGTTTCTTCCGCAAAGCCAGTGACGCAATCCAACGTGTCCGGAGTTCGAGTCGAGGACAAACATCCCGTAGAGAGTCCTCCCCGTCTTCGAGCCACTCCGACAGCAAGCCGAAGATGTCGCAGGCCCTGCTCGATCTGCTGGTATATACGGTCGGCGTCAAGTACCGCGGGATCAATAAGAAAGAGGCGTATGCGCCGCAGCACATGTTTTCTCTCTCGGAGAACGCGGCCTCGCGGATGGTCCGCTCGTCAGCCGTGCTTGATCTCATTAAGCACACCCGCACGCATCTGGTGCGGATCTATCCGAAAGGGATGCGAGTCAACTCGTCCAACTGTCTCCCGCATCACTTCTGGAGCTCTGGTGCACAGCTCGTCGCGTTGAACAGACAGACTGTGGGTTCGTATTCTGTCCGATCTCTCGCGCACGATCTGACACAAACGTTTAGATCTTGGATCGCTGATCAACCATGCGATGTTTGCCCGCAATGGGGGTCTCGGATACGTGCTGAAACCGCGAGCACTGCGCCTGCCAAATCAGAAAGAGTTGCTCAATCAGAAGACCGAGTACGTGCTGGAAGTCACTGTCGTGTCCGCCCAGCAGCTTGCGCCGCCCAAAGATTCTGCGTCGGACCTCTCCGTCGAAGTCTCGTTGCATCTTCCAGACTGGACAGGGTTTCAGACCCAGCGAGGCTCCGCGCCGCCCTCCGCCGCCTCGAATCCAACCTCCATAACAATGCGCACCTCCTCCTGCAAGCGAAACGCCTTCAACCCTGTGTGGGAGGAGAAGCTCCTGCTGCCGTTCAGCTGCAGGGGGGATATGACGGAGCTTGTGTTTGTGCGCTTTGCGGTCAAGCAGGACGGAAACAAGGACGATGACGACCCATTCGCGCAGTACTGCACTTCCTTGGCCTGTTTGCAACAAGGTGCGCCTGCCTTTCTTTTTTTTGCGGTGACGAAAGACTGAGTGATGACTGGCTAGGGTACCGTCATATCCCGTTGCACGACACGCAGCTCTCCCAGTTTTTGTTTTCTACTCTGTTTGTCAAAGTCCGTTTGCGGCGACTGTGATGTGTTGCAGCTGCGTCGTGTTTGTGCTTATACTTCCAATTCTCGGGTCGTTCATCCGTTTATGTCGTCCAACAGCTTGTATAATTCATGATGGTCATTGATTTCTTCCTTGGCGGCTTGAATTTTAGGGTATCTGTCGGCTTGATTCTTCAATGCGCTTTCGCTCAGCTCATAATCACCGTGAACTGAGTTTGATCTCAATGTTCGACTTTTGCTGGTCGTTTGATCATCACCCAAGACGAGGATCAATCAGTGGTTGTATAAGCTGATGAACGACTCGTATATGGACGGATGAACGGATGAACGGATGAACGACTTCGAATTGAGCAGCTCTAGTGGAGTGGAGCATCAATTCTAGCGATGGGGCTCCAAATTAACTGAGAATCTGTAGAAACTGCCTTGAAACTTGAAATTCTAGATTGTCTACTATTCTGATCTCTGTGCCCACGATCCGAGTCGACTGCTTGCAGCTTACTTCAAGGAATCACCCTCACTTCAGAAATTGCTCCACATTGGACGGATAGATTCTGGTCTAAGAGACATGCACTCGAAATCTCATTCTTGAGATAAGCGATGATCTATCTCTGGCGCATCACCATCACATCGCTAAACAGTCTTCTCCGCTACATAGGGGATCGCCTTGTTCTCCTTCTTCCAGAGTTCCGCTTGCTCGCTACCAAGTGGGGGAGGAGCCATGCCGTTGAGGTGCCACAGATGGGCCTGGACAAGCGATCAGCATAGCGCAGGCGAGTGGCCAAAGACACGGCTCACATCGCACTCTTGGACCCCGATCTCCCAATCGACACCGCGCCCAGCGGTGTAGGGCTTGATGATATCCTCGTACCTCGCTATGAAATCACGCTTGCTGGCGACTCTGATGGAGCGCATGGTGAGTTGAGCCGATGCCTGCGGTGTCAAATTCGACGATCAACGCACCCGGCTTCTCCAACGGGGAATTTCCCCGCTAGATGTTCGACTTGGATGCGGACCATGTTGTCGGCGCGCTTGGTCTCGGCGCCGACGAAAAAGCTGCCCTGCTCGAGTTCGATGAAAGCCACGACGACGTAGAACTCCGGGAGGGAGATCGGCGGGGCTGCGTAGAGCGCAGTGATACCCTTGGCGAGTGCCGCTTTCTCGGCGTCCGAATAGAGTCCTTTGGGAGTGTAGAATTGGTGGAAAGGCATTGATGCTTGATTCTTGGTCTGGATCGCTGTGAGGCAGTTGAGTTGTGCAAAAGCATGCGATCAGCTCGTCTTATATATGTCGAGTACATAGATACTCGCAAACGTCACGTAAGTCCCCGAAGGCTAGCTGACCAACGAATCTCTACTGTGATAACTGCCTCGCATGACGCCTTCTCGAACTCCACGCCACGGGGTCGTATTCGTCCGATATTTTTGTCGCAGTGGCATCTCCATTTGCTGGTGGTCCTTCGCAAGTATCGCGCGGGACTGAGTTGGCATTGACTTTGGATTATCCATCGAGACGCTTGTACCTCGTCTGTACCAGCTCCAGTCGCATTGAACCTCCGTGTTCCGCCAACGCTCGATGCCCGCGCTGATGGGTCCGAGTCTGCATAGCACGTGATCGCGACCGGAATCAGATCCTTTTGAAGGAATGCTAGATCCATCTTGCTTTCGTTTACATTGATGGACACTGCAAACGCGGATTCCACTTCGGAGACAGTATGAGCTGCCCGAACACGTTAGTGGTTGCGTCAAATCCCTACTCGCACGGGAATTAACGGCTGGATCTTTGCGATTGGTTCGAAATTGAGTTTGGTCTCCAGAGCTCAGGCTAGATGCCCGAGCCCGAGCCCGAGCCCGAGTCTATGCTTCTGGGACTGCAATTCTCGGGTCGCTCATCCGTTCATGTCGTTCATCAGCTGATATAATTCATGATGGTTTTCGATTTCTTCCTTGGTAGCTTTGAGCTTTGGCGGTCATAAGCACGCGTCTGAAGAAGTGTAATACTGTGTGAAAACTGAATTTTTGGGTATCTGTTGGCTTGATTCTTGAATGTGCCCCTCAGCTCATAATAACCCTGGACTGAGTCTGATCTCAATGTTCGACTTTTGCTGGTCTTTTGATCATCACCCAAGACGGGGATCAATCAGCGGTTGTATAAGCTGATGAACGACTCGGATATGGACGGATGAACGGATGGACGGATGTACGACTCGGAATTGAGCGGCCCTAGTTGAGCATGAGCATCAATTCTAGCGATGGGGCTCCAGATTAACTGGACATTTCGAGAAACTGACCTAAAAACATCAAATTCTAGATCGTCTAATATGCTTACTCTGATCTCTGTGCCCACGATCCGAGTCGACTGCCTACTACGAGGAATAACCCTGGCTTCAAAGATTTCTCCACATTGGACGGATAATAGATGCTGGTCTAAGAGCTTCTAAGAGACATGCATTCGAGATCTCAGTCATACGATAAGCGGTGATCTATCTCTGGCGCATCGCATCGCTAAACTATATTCTACGCTACGTAAGGGACCGCCCTGTTCTCTTTCTTCCAGAGTTTCTCTTGCTCGCTCTCAGGTGGGGGAGGAGCCATGCCGTTGAGGTGCCACAGTTGGGGCTGGACAAGCAATCAGTATCGCGAGCGAGTGGGCAAAGAGATGGCTTGCATCGGAATCTTGGATCCCGATCTCCCAGTCGACACCGCGCCCGGCCGTATAGCGCTTAAGCGTTCCCTCGTACCTCGCCATGAAATCACGCTTGCTCGCGACTCTGATGGAGCGCAAGGTGAGTTGAGCGAATGTGAGATTCGACGAGCAACCAACGCACCCGGCTTCTCCAACGGGGAACGTGCGCGCCACATGCCCGACTTGGATACGGACCATGTTGTCGGCGCGCTTGGTGTCGGCGCCGATGAAAAAATTGCCCTGCTCGAGCTCGATGAAAGCCACGACGACGTAGAACTCCGGGAGGGAGATCGGCGGGGCTGCGTAGAGCGCGGTGATTTCCTTGGCGAGCGCCGCTTTCTCGGCGTCCGAGTAGAGTCCTTTGGGGGTGTAGAATTGGTGGAAAGGCATTGCTGTTTCAGTCTCGGTTTGGATCGCTGTGAGGCAGTTGAGTTGTGAAAAACCCTGCAATCAGCTCGTCTTATATATGTACATACTCGCAAACGTCACGTAAGTCCCCGAAGACTCGCTGACCAACGAATCACTACTATCTACTACTATGATAACTGCCTCGCATGACACCTTCTCGAAAATCGCATCACGGGGTCGTATTCGTCCGTTATTTTCGTCGCAGCAGCATCTCCATTCGCTAGGTCTTCGTAAGGATCGCGCGGGAACTGATTTAGTATTGACTTTTGTTCCTCGTCGGTACCAGCTACAGTCGCATTGAATTCCGACTCCTGACAACGCTCGTTACCCGCGCTGATGGGTCTACATAACACGTGATCGCGACCGGAATCAGATCATCTTGGAAGAAATGCGAGATCCATCCTTGCTTTCGTTTACATTGATCGACACTCCGAACGCGAATTCAACTGCGGCGATAGTCTGAGCTGCCCGAATACGTTACTGGCTGCGTCAAATCCCTACTCGCACGGGAATTAACGGCTGGATCTTTGCGATTGGTGGTCGAAATCGACTCGTTTGTCTGATTCTACGCCCGAGACCGAGCCCGAGACCGAGCCTTGCTTTCGGATCCTGAAGGCGGATTGAGACACGAAGAAGAATGGGGATATGTCGTGCGCTATTGCAGTTGTTTAGTGAATAATCTCAGAGTTGTTTCGCCACTTTTTTATCATTCAGTGATCTGTTTCTGAGAGCAGTTACCAGGAGCGAGGCTCTGGCTCCCGGCCCCATTACTCTGTCTGCGTCAATTCCATATGAGCAGGATCCCGTCTCTCTTGTCTCCTCTTAGTCAATTCGAGCATGACTCGAGTGTTAGCACACCAGACTGGCTCAGTCGTCTAGAGATGTGCGCACGCCCGATAGCACGTCTCCGGGCGTGAAACCCGGGCTCAGATTTCAGGAGCTCATACAGCCCGAGCTTCGTAAGCCCGGGACCGGATACGCGGGCTTTCGGGCCTCAACCTCCAGCCCGAGCCCCTATGGCGAGATCCAAGATGACGCCATCTGAGGTTTGGTCCATGGTCCAGGAAGCGGGTGCTGCGGGCCAGAAAATAGCTTGAATCTGCTTTAAAAGGCTGCATGATCCCTCAAGGCATCACCAATGCGGTTTCGTCCATCTAAACACGCATGCACCGCTTTTCTTGGGCGCTCAGGCAGCGGCTGATGTGGTCCTGAACTCGCATCATGCACGTGAAAGAATTATCCAGTATCCACTCTGAATCTCACTCACTCGTCTATAAGCTGTCACTATAGCATTCTATTAACTCGAGATGCAGGCCCGTCTGCGTGAGTGGTATCTATAGCTGGGAATTACAAGATTCTACGCTGCAGCCCAAGTCCGGACTCTGCATTCAAATTGTGATGCGGACTAGGGAAAAGAATGTGGATACGTCGTGAACCATTGGGCGAATGGCATGCGCATCTACATACAAAACAAGTTTCCCTCTCACTCTCTCTGCATCGTGTCTGAGCCCCAAACTGGCATTTTCCCGATTCGGGAGGACATCCCGAAGCGGTCATCTCGACAGCTATGTGAATGAATAGGTTGACACGTGACCGTGTCATTGATTTCCTCTCGACATCACCGCTTCATGGACTTGGAACAGCTGGCTGATTATACCTGGACACCGCCTCAATGCAATCTTTTGAAAGCTCCAGAAGCGACCGGCATATGAGAAGTTGACTCCTCTGGAACACTGCAAGGCAATTTCCCTCGTAGCGCTAAATGGTGGCGGCTGATCATGTTGTTTCATTAATTCTGAAAGTTCATCACCAGTGCGTTGATGCGACAGCTGCTCTCCGCCTGTCAAATTGCCCTCCGCCTCGGATGGACGAGTGGGTTATGCTTCGACGTGCAGGATCTTCATCGCTCAGCTGCGTGGTCCCAGCCCCGAGCGTCGTACTGTCCCCCGGAACCGGAGCAAGATACAAACCAGAAACGACGGTTCGATATTGATGTCGTTACAATAACATTTCAAGTCGTGTGCACTCGTCTCTAGGTTAGTCTCATAGTCCATCGTCTTGCCAATTTGCTCATTGAAATCAGTATTCGTAAATGTCACGGGCATGAGACAGCTCGGACCATAACCAAGGCGCCTACACATGCAGCGGTCTAGCCTCTAGGCACTCGAAACATGGAGACTTGTGGAAGTTACCATGCAAGTTGGTAAGCGTCGTGCGCATCACCGATTCCTTGGGGGTCCATCTCCATTTGGCATAGCCGACCTCGGGGCTTATCTTATTTACACGATGTAGTTGGGACCTGATTCCTTTTCTTCTCTCACTTACTTACTTGGCGCTCGCACGCTGCGCACGAACTCGGTCCGCTGCAGACAGGCTGGGCCTCGTTCGCTGTGCGGTGCACCAGTCTGCGTTCTTTTTCGTTTCTCTTCTTTTCGTCCCCTCGACCGTTTCTTCTTCCTTCTTCTTCCGGAGCATGCTCCCCTTTTTCTTCCATCAAATCCCGAACCGGTGCGTTCTTTTGACATCTCGTATGTTGGCGCACGCGACCGACACCGACACTGCCCCACCAGACAATCTTACCTTCCGTTCGTCACGCTCTTCTTACTACTCCTACGACCTGTCACGGCACTCGTTTTCGCACCCCTCAATAATTCCTCCACGTTTTTAACGGGCGAAAGCGTCACGCTAGACTGGACTCTGGATGGATCGGAACCTGCGGGAGGCTGGCAATTGTGGTATCATGAGACTGGTGTCTCGATGGAGGTGGCGAACGTGAATCCCGGGCAGACGTCGGCGACGTTCCCCTTTCCCGGAAGGTGTGTGTTCTCCCCCTTGAGTGTGGCGTTGTCGTTTCGCACGCGTCTGACACCGGGATGGCTACTTTCAGCGCGAGCGGGACTTTCCAGGCACGAGACGGCACGGCTATCTTTGCTACGAGTGATCTTGCAAGCGCGTCGAATCCGGGAAGCGCGTCGTTCACGCTCACTGCGACGCGAACTTTCTCCGCTGAGATCACCTCCGGCGCAACGAGCAGCGCATCGAATGGGGTTACGCTATCGTCTGTGTTCCCTTCTAGTTCGGCGTCTGTGACTCCCTCCACCTCGAGCGTGGCTGCCGCATCCAATTCAACGGCCCGGACGCAGGCTATCCTGGGAGCCATTGTCGGAACACTTGCGGTGATCTTCATCATCGTCATGGTCTGGGTCATTCTTCTCATACGCCGCCGCCGCCGCCATCAAACTCTCACTTTCAATAATGAAGATGCAGAGAAAGATTCCAGCCGTTCAACAATGCCGTCCAGCATATCACTTATAGCGTCGTCGCTGGAGTCCCCATCACGATCAAACTCGACTAGGACAATAATGACGGCGTCGGAACCATCGTCCCCGCCCCGAACTTCACGAGCATCAACTCCCCTACCAGCCGTGCCCGAGCCCGAGCCCGCCTCTGCCGACGCCCGCCGCCAGCTGTACCTGAGTTCACAACTCGAGAAGCTGCGGACAGGACCCACGTCCAACGAGACAGGCTCCATCACGTTCCCGCCCTTGTCTGCTGTGCCATCGGATACCGTTGCCAGCGATGTTGCGCCACATGCACATGGCGGGACATCGGACGCGGATCAGCTACCCGCGATCCCCGCACGGGGGATCTCTCCTGGGAAACGGAACGTGTTCCTCTCGCAGCAGCTGGGGAAGCTGGATGTGCCGAGGACGAGTCGCCCGACGTCGCACGGTGCTTCCATCGCCTTCAGTCCCCTGTCCTCTGTCCCGTCCGAATCAGCAGCCAGCGAGAACGAGCCTCAATCGGGTGCGACTGTACGGCGCACGTCCACGGTTACGAGTTCGGAGCTGGCCTCGCCGATCTTGTTCAGACGGCCGACGGTGGATGAGGTTGTTCGATCGTTACCGGCCCTACCCCGAGCTGCGGGACCCTCGTGGTAGTAAGTTTATCTTTGCGGACTAATCATGCGAGTATCCTAGTCACCACTAATCTGTATCGTTACTCCTCCGCGACTGTCACTGCGGTTATGAACAATGGAAGAGTATTAATCATGATGCGATTGTTGATTCTTTACACATTTGAAGGAAACTGTCAAGAGTATGTATCTACGGATTAAGTAATTGGATGCTTGTGATCAGTAAACAGTGCTTCAAACGGACGGATCGATCCAGTCCTCCTCGCCTTCTTCCATATCGTACGAATGGAGATGGGGCTGCGAATGGTGATGGTGATGATGGTGCGGATGGCCTTTGGGCGCCGGTGCATCGGGCAATCCACGCCACGGCGAGTCCTCCATCGCAGCCATGTTGTCCGGCACGTATTCGAACATGAGCTTCAGCGATCCCGACTGGACGAACGGCTTCATCTCTGGCAGCGTAGCAATGTTGTACGCGAGTGGCCGACCGAACCGGCCAAAGACCTGCCGGAGGCCGTGTCCCGCGCGCGAGAGGATGCACTTCTGAAGGAGCAGATCGGGAGCCATGTCAAAGGTGCTCACGGACAAGAACGAGAGGGAGGGGAGAATGTTGAGGCTGGGGTCCCCGTCAGAGATCAGCTCCTGGAAGACGATGGCCGGCATCGAGGGAAGAGCTGGACCCGTCGTAGCCGGCTGGGCTTGCTGGAAAGCCAGTGTGTGTGACATGTCATGCAGAGTCAAATTGGTGACAGTCGCGGGAAGCGCATGGAGCAGAGATTGTACCCCCGACGCAGGAATCTCAGCGAAGAAGTGAGCTTGCTCGAGCACAGGAGTTCCTGCTAGTAACTGAAGCACTGATTTGGCAATCGTCTTCCCCGGAGCGCTAGGGTCTTGAAAGGCGCTTGAAGAGCTACTGCGGATGGCAAAAGAGCGAAGATTAGGGGCAGAAAGATGCCGCAAGAGCCGGAACGGATCAGTGACAATGGACGTGCGATAAAAGTGCAGTTCAAGAGTCTGTAGGTGTGGCATGTAGATCTCCCCATCGAACAGTGTTTCATCCACATCCCGTACAGTCAACTTGCAGTGTCGTAGCTGAGGGCATTCTGCTAACGTCCGCAAAATCAAGTTGGCATTCGGTTCGGGAAGATCGGTCGTCGAGCCGATAGCCATGAGATTGAAGGCAGCCGACACACGTCCGGGAGACAACACACTTAGCGACGTCAGTTGTTCCCACCGAAGCGGAAGTCCGAAAGGAACGACACTACTGCTTGAGATTCCGAATCGTCTGACACGCGCGCCGTGAAGTAAACGCAGTTGTGTCCAATCAGGAGGCGAGGCACGTTGATTAGCAGGGGCTCCCCAATTGATTAACCCGTTGAAAGCTGCTGCTGCCTGAACAGCTGCTGCGTTAACACCGCCGGCAGCCGGTCCTGGCGGAGGAGGTGGAGCGGGTGGAGCGGGGACAGGACCTTGACCAGGAGCAGGCACAAGGTTGAATATGGGTCCGGGGCCGGGACCGGCTGCAACCGGGGGCCCAACATTGAAGTTGAGGAACTGGTTAGGCCCTAGCAACATTGGGGGCGAAGCAGTGGCCATGATTGGCTTCAGCGTCACACTCGTCAGCATCGGCACATCCTGCTCAGTGAGCTCCATCAGCCGCGCAACGCCTTCACTCGTGATGAGCATGTCGATCGTGTGCCACCGGTAGGCGTAGAGGACGAGCAGGTCGATGATCGCGGCTGGGGACATGCAGGCATGGTCGACGTCGTACGAGATAGAAAGCGGGCACTCTCCGGCACGTCCAAGCCATATCTTCGTAGCATGAATGCGTTTAGCAAGCCGGGCGCGGTCCTTCGAGAGGTCGGGGGCGCCACCATAGTTGTGATACGACACGCTGGTGGGGTGCACGATGTGCAGTTTGGACCACAGGCGCGGGGTAGAGAGAGAGATGTCGCGCCACGAGCTGCACACGCGTCCAAGGAGCAGCGGGGCCTCCGTCGTGGACATAACGCAGTTGCGCGCAGTCGGTAGGCACGCAAGGAATATTTCCCGGATGACATCCACGGGGAGACGGCGCACGGGTGAGATGAGCGCGGAGTGTGCGTCGACGTAGGCGCTCAATTGTCGTTTCTCTCCTTCCAGTTTCTCCATGGACTGACGTAGGGCTGCGAGCTCGGAATCGACGTTCGAAATGCGCTGCTGCGGACCCGACATCAGCTGCTTGAGCTGTTCAACTTCGCTGTCGCTGGGGGCATAGTTGGTCCCAAGTTTGGGGGTGAACGGCGAAGGCTGCATTGAAACCGCAATGCTAAACAATCGTCGTCCTTTTACAAGAGGAGCTCATGTAAATCGATGATCGCACATCAACGTCACTCTTCCATAACGTTCTTGGCTCGTGACTTGCATTTGGGCCGGTGCAGGCCAATGAGGCTTTTGGCGGCTCGAGGAGCCCTCGAGGCTGGTGGATTTTCGACCACAGCCCAGCAAAGTGAGTGTAGCATACCCGGAAATCTCTGGCCAGAGCTTATCACAAGCGCCAAACCGACGCCAGCGTTTGATCCGACTCGTCTTAAAAGGCAGATCGATATCTAGGGCGTGAGCGTCGAGAGTGCGGGATCTTCGTTCTTGACGTGTACATAACATAAATTTGTATCGAATTATTCTAGTCAAAAGTGATCTAAAGTGATAGCAGCGAGCCAGCTCTCGAGATTATAGTACTTTCTACGTCGCGTTCTAGTCACCAAAAAAGAGTGAGCGCAAAAAAGAGAGGAGGGTGGACAGTTTCGGAGACTTCGCAGCGACAGCCCCGCACAAAAACCGAATCGACCAACGAGCGTCTACATGTCCTTGAAATCAACCTCGACACCAGAGTCTTCGACATCACTGCTGGACGGCATTACAGGTCGTGCAGCAGCAAGTCCACGGGCATTCTTATAGAAGACGACACCGCCCTCGTCTTCCACAAACTAGAGAACGCATTAACACAACGCACACTCCAGAGCACACGCGGACGTACCTTGCATTCGCGCATAACTCGGTACACCTCCGCCCAGCCACCCGGCCGCCCAACCAGATGGATGCCTGCAGCAGCCAACCGTTTCCTGAGAGCGTACGTGGCCTCCCATGCATGGTAGTGAGGGATCTTGCTCGTGACGTGATGCAGCACATGCGTTTCCGAGATGCCGTGCGTGGCATGGGCACCCAACCAGCCCATGATAGAGCCCAGATCGCCGAGCAGGCTGCGGTCGACAGTGCACAGTGCGCCGCGCTGGAACGTGAACATCTCAGCGCGGTAGTGGGGAGTCAACGGGTCGGTGTGTTGCAGGAAGGTGATGAGCACCAGCCAGTGGTTCACCCACAGGTATGGAACGAGGTAGACGCGCAGAACGGTGCTGAAACCGTAGTGGTTGCAGGACAGTGCGATGAGGCCGAGCCAGATAACGATGCCGAGGTCGGAGAGCACGATCTGGTCGTATTGGTGCTTGGCGAATATGATGGAAGAGGGGAGGAAGTGACTGGTGCCCTGCGGGTAGCGAAGCTGGCCACCGAGGTTGCACACAAGGTACGCGGGGAGGCCAACAATCTGATCCGAGTAAGCTTGAACACGGCGAATCATGCAGCGCACACACCAAATAGAAGGCACATCGCGCAAACGTCACGATCGGCGTATCTCCCAACGCCTCCCACAGCTCTTCCTGGACGGCCGCCGAGACATTCCCACCCCGCAGGTCATCTTTCGCAAGGTCAAGAGGAGGCAGACCCATCTCCGAGCGCGTCCACGGAACGAAGACCTGGTCTCTGGTCATGTGGCCTGTCGCAGCATGGTGCTGGGCGTGGCTGATGCGCCACGAGTGGTATGGAACTCCCAATCTGAAAGTGGACACACAAAAGATGTCAGAATAGAGTTTAACGCCGCACTAGCACCAAGGAAGGCACCGTCGATCACGATGTGTCAACTTACCCAGAATGAAGCACCCATCCGACAAAGTTGTTGATGCTTTTGTTGGAACTGTAGGCCTAGAGCAGCGTCAGGAGGACAGCGGGTCTGTTCTTGACACGCCGACATACCCCATGTCCTGATCGAAGATCCCGTTAGATCAGCAACAAATGTTGGCAACGGGCCGGACTCACCAGCTTCGTGCGCGACGATCCACAGACCCATCGCGAAGAGGCCCGCGAAAAACCCATACAAGGACCAGATAGAGAAACTCGCCAGAGAGCGGTAGGCTGCTGGCAACGCGACGGTGTACGTGTCAGCGATGCCGGCGAGCTTCCATAAGGACGTTATGACGATCAAATCCCATACGCTGCGCGTCCGAGCGTGAGTCGAGCCTGGGAAGAGGGGGGGAACAAACGTACGGATATATTGTCGAGCGCAGAGTCGAGCGCTCGAAGCAATGCGCCCTGGGGACGTGGGGTAAGTTTGCGGCAGAGGCTAGGGATGGGGCAACGCACGGAATGCAGGATAGCAAGTCCTTCATCGAGAGGTTTGGGATAACCACGTCGACCTGCTCGTGGGACTCCATCTTTTCAACCGTGTTGGAGGACATGAACGAAAGCAGGGAGAGGAGAGAGAAAGGGTGGCGAGTCGAGGCGAGGAAATTGATCGTGGTGCACTCCTTGCCGAAATGATGGGAAATATATTGGGGCAAAAAAAATCGTACGTGGATCGGCGTACGGTAGCTGTACGATCTTGCCATGAAAACTGGACGATATATGCGCAATGTACATTATTTTGTTACACAAAGAATTGAGTTAATTTCCACTTCGGCCCGCAGCCCGCACCACACCGCCACTCAAGACAGGCAGAGATTTCTCCGCGGCAGTTTCAGACGGCGCCGGGAGAAAGTCTGCGCGCACCAGCCAAGCGAGGTACTTCCCAATGAGGTCCTCCGACACGGTGCTCTCCTCTTCGTCGCCTGCAGCCCGCAGCAGAGCACGGGTGTTGGTATCATCCAATGCAGGTGCCCTGGTGCTCGTTGGCAGATCGTCCAGGACGAAGTGCAGCAACGGAAACAGGGCGTTGTCCTGAGTCTGCATGACATGTTTTTCAAGCCCCCGTCGCCAGAGGATGTACTCGCATTGCGAGATCTTGTAGCCGTACGACGCAAGGGGAGTGAGCAAGTCGTTGTACGACGGCAGGGGCGTAGCTGTCACGTGCAGAACAGAGAGCGAAGCATCGGAAAGGGGTGCAAGCGCCGCGAGGGTGGTCGTCCGTGCGACACGGTCGACAGGGACCATGTTCACCGAATTGTTCATCTCGGGAACGAGCCCGAGCTGGATGCAGCCCTTGACTAGACGCCAGAGGAAGTCATCTGTGTTAGTGACGGCTGTTTGTGAGTCGCCAACAACATATCCAGGCCTGACGATGTGGCCCTGCAATCCTCTCCGCCCTGCCTCGAACAGGAGCTTCTCCGAGACCCATTTGGTCTGACCGTAGCCAGTCTTCAGGGTCGAACGCGCACCTTCGAGATCATCGCTCTCGGGGATCCCGCGCGAATGCCCGATCACGAGTGAATCCGAAAGTCGCACGTAATGGTCATTGTCCACAGCCGAGGTGGACGACACGAAAACAAGCAGCTTCTGCTTGCCATCGGACGCTAGATCGATCGCAGTGAGTGTCGCCAGGACATTTGCAGATCGAAGCTTGTCGTACGGATATACCCAGTGCACCTGTCATCAGTGAGATTCGAAAATCGAGCTGGAGATAGGTGGAGCAGACGTACCAAAGCACCATTGTGGATGATCGAGTCTGCCTCCTCCGAGACCCGAGCCCAAACATCCTTGCCCATCCCAAAGTACGCAACGCCGAGATCACCCTTGACCACTTCGAGCCGTCCAGTGGTCACCCAGTCCTCATCCCAGACCCCGCGATCAGTAGAGCCCGTGCGCAGACGTTCCAAGCCCTGCTGCACATCGCTTGCCCGGACCAAGCAGATGACCTTCTGCACACGCGAGCCTCTAGACAGCAGATCCTTGAGCACGAATGCCCCCAAGAATCCAGTCGCCCCCGTCAAGAACACAGTCAACGGCTTGGTGTGATAGTCGCTCGGCAGCTCTGAGTACGCGTCTTGCAGATGCGGCAGGAGCCGATCAAGATCCTCGCCGTACTCAAGTGTTGCCGCATGGCTGGCCTGCGCACCGGGAACGGTAAGCGAGTCGGACGATGCGACATCTGGGTTCTTGTACGACAGCCCGAGATCCCCGTTACGCAGAGACTGCACTGCATCAGCCAGTCCGGCGATCGTCGGCCGATCGAAGACCAACCCGAGCGGAGCATCGACAACGAAGGCCTTGCGGATCTCGAAGATGAGACGGGTGGCCAGGATGGAATGACCTCCGAGATCGAAGAAGCTCTCGTCCGTCGGAATAGGCTGCGGCGCATTGGGAAGCATTGATGCCCATATTTGACGCAGTTTCTCCTCGCTGGTATTGACTTTGGCGGAGGCAGACGAGAACGTCGTAACTGCTTGCGCCGTATCGGGAAAGGGAAGTGCTGGCTTGTCAATCTTGCCGTTGGGGTTCAATGGCATGCGGCCGAGAGGGACAAACACTGTGCAGCATGAGCGGAATCAATGAACAGAGATGAAGCCACCGACAGGTAGGGACGCTATAACTGGGCAACTTCTTTTTGAGATGCTCTCGGATTTCCTTGATGAGCCGTCGGTACTTCTTGATTCCGTGAACAAGACTCTTCTCCGATTCGCCATCCGTGATCTCACTAGCGTACCCTGCCAAAGCGGGGCCATCGAGCGGCACAAAGTAGCTGACGAGGATCTTCTCCTCGTCCTTGTCTCTCCTCACAAGCGTGACGTTCTCACGCACCAGCGGGTGCTGGCTCAAGTGCGTGTCGATCTCGCCCAGTTCAATGCGGAACCCGCGAATCTTGACCTGATCGTCCGCCCGTCCCGTACATTCCACCGTCCCATCAGGCAGGTACCGTCCCAGATCCCCAGACCGATACATACGGTCCCGCACACCTTTCCAGTGACGGGCTTCCGGACCGGGAAGCGCCCCGGCAATAGGATGCCTGATCGTGTCCTTGCGCGGAGGAGCATCAACTGCAAACCAGTTCTCGACGAACTTCTCCGCACTGGCCGCGGTGTCGAGGTATCCCTCTGCCAGCCCGCCTGAGCGCACGTAGATCTCGCCGACCTCACCCACTGCACACGGCACGCTGCGGTCGTTGCGGTTGACGACGAGGAGCTGCACGTCGATCATGCCTGCGCCGGCCGGCATGATGTCTTTCTGCGTCGCCAGGAACGTCGGGTCCTCCGAGACGGGCGGCAGCGCAAAGTACGACACGGCCCGTTGTGTCTCCGTCGTGCCGTACATGTTAATGATCCGCACGTTCGCAGCGAGTGCCTGCAGGCGCGAGCAGTCGCGCTTGGTGAGCACATCGCCGACGAAGAACGCGTTCTTGAGCGTCGGAATCTGCCGCGTGGCTTGAGCCGAAAGCAGCTGGCCCATGGCTGGCGTGAGATGGGTGATCGTGACTTGGCTGTCGGCCATCCACTCCGCAAGCCGCCCCGGGATACCGATGTCGTCGGCGGTGGGAACGTGCAGCTGCGCACCGAAAAAGAGCGGAGTGAACACTGCAATAGCTCGGCCATTGACGACAACCGCGATTGCAATTGAGACTCACTGTCACGTTGGATTGGGTCATGCGCGATACCACTCAGCATGGTAAACTTGGACGTCTCGTCCAGCCCGAATCGCTCGCCCATCCAGGGGAAGAAGTGCGTCAAACTGAAGTGGCGGCCCTTCACGCCCTTGGGGATCCCCGTGCTCCCCGTGGTAAACGACAACGTCCCGACGCTGTCCGGTCCCAGCGACACATTGGGATCGGTGGAGCCCAGATGCGCGTGAGACTTGAGCACATCTTCGCCGCCAGTGCGGTTCCCTCCGGCGATCTCACCGCTCGGGAAGACCTCGACAGCGGGCACCTCGACACGGATCTTGAGATCGGATTCGAGGTACTCGCGCACAGCGGGGTTAAGAGTTCCGGCGCCCTTCAAGACAACCAGGCCTCGGGGCTGAGCGACTTGCAGGTAGAGAATCTGTCTCGACGGTGGGTAGGCCGGATCTGAGCGCGATCAGACGAGAATAAGACTCAAAGACGAAGAAATCTACATACCAATCACAGAGAACGTCGCGCCCGCCTTCAGCACCGCCATCACTGCAACGACAAGATCTACGCTCCGATGTGCATAGACCATAACCACTTCCTCGCGCTGCACGCCGCCCTTGATCAGGTGATGCGCGAGCACATTTGCAGCGTTGCGGATCGCGCCGTACGAGAAAGTCACCTTCTCCTGCACCTCGGCCAGCGAGGCCGCCGGGATGCTTTGCACCACACAGGGCCGGTCCGGCCATTGCCGCGCGTTGCTCGAGAACACATCCGTGATCGCGCCCTTCCAGCCGCACCAGTCCAGATCCGCTACCGGGTCCGGCAGTTTGGCCTTCTGAGCGGGTGTGAGCAGGGGCACGTGTCCGACTGGCGAAAGTGGTGCGGATGAGACTTTGCGCAGGAGGACCGACAGTTGGTCGACGATTGAGGTGATCCGTGCCGGCGCGAAAAGGAGAGAGTTGTACAGTATCCGCAGAGAGATCTGCGGTGCCAGCGACGCGCGCGTGGATGCGAGGGGACGAGTGACGAAGACAGTAAGATCAGAAGTCGCGCTCGTCGAGCGAATGAAAGTTTCTGAGGGCTGGTCCGTCTCATCAAAGAAGCGGACACGGAATATAGGCGCCATCGCAGTCTCCTCCTTATCCCTATACAGCTCGCGCGTGATGCTCTCGAACGGAACCGCATCCTCGATAGCCTCTTTTTCCACAAGCTGCACCCGCCGAACGACAGACCAGAACGGATCCGAGGGATCGATAGGCAGCCGCAGGACTAGCGGATCGCGCGCGGTGGGGGACGACGACCCAATAACGATGTCCGTGTCGCCTGTGTATCTGTGCAGCAGGACCGTAAAAGCCGCAAGCAGCAGGTGGAACGCAGAGGGCGCCTGGGAGCCCGCTCCCTCCCCCTCCGAGTCTACATCCCCATGTTCGTTTTCGTCGTATAGTGCGAGCTTGAGCAGGGACAGAGATGTCTGATCTGAAAACTCGGCAATGTGTGTGGCCTCGATGACCTTGTTCGAGCCGGATGGGCGGGGGTAGTCGGTCGGGAGCGCGATGGATGGAAGATTCTGGAGCCGCCCGACGACTCTGGATAGTCGCGCGTCGTCCATTGCGGAAGTGAAGAAGGTAAACAAGATAGGTCGAGTCAGACCCAGGGATTTTTGCCTTTCGGAAGATCGGCCGAACAGGGGACACGATCACGAGTCCAGATGATGCGCGTGACGTCAATAATCAGTTTGCTACCTTGGTTTTGAGTGCGGGGCTGTAGTACCCTTGTGATAGTCTATCGGGAAAAAAAGCCTTTTAACCTCAGTTTTTTATACACAAGGTCAATCGTAGAAGGTGGTGTCCTGCTTTACCCTAGAGATGCCCACAAATTGGACAAAACTGGTCAAGAACGGAAATGTCAACGAAATAGAATTCATCCATCGACATAGTGCAAATCTGCTGAATTTTTTCTGCTTCTAGACAGAGAGCGCCCAGTTGGCGGGGAGATTCATATTCCATAATGCAGCACTAACCTAGCGCTGTTTACTCTGGTTCGCATACCTTGGCGTTGACTAAGAACCCCGTAGGTTGATGAGCGGGAGAATAAAATAAGGACCACGGAGCCCAGACTCTTGTGTCAAAACTCCTCTCCCGGATGTCGGCGGCATCCGGGACCCCTACTGGTAGATCTCAGGCAACAGGAATTCCTCTAAAGCTATCGATGGACGCAGCACGGTGCGCAAGCAGACTCAGCCATGGATCGGCACCATCTCCACTTCTGATCCGCACGAAAAGTGGTACTACCAATTCCAGACGGACGGCCGCCTCTCTCGTTCGCAGTGCGAAGACGAGCGGGCAGCTAACTGTGAGCCTGACGTCAGAAACAAACCGCATCAGCTGATCGCGGTTCTCTGCCACGCGCGCCCTGCTCGCAGACAAGCATCTGCTCTAGCCCAATTCCCAACCCCCAAAGCTGCGATGCCTTTCAGCGCACCAAGCAACCTCCAGAACCAAAGCCTGATGCACGGCATGCATATAACACTATGTATATTCGACAGCAAATATCAGAGATGCAAGTGCACAACAGACGAGCAGGTGGGCAGGCAAAGATACGAGTACACGACAGATGCTGGGTGATGATAGCAGGCACACAAATTACACGCGAGAGTATAAAAAAAAGAAAAGCAGAAACATATCGTCAATCAGAGGATGGAGTAGTGGCCCGACGCGTCCGCAAGTTCCTGGCAGCAGCTTTCGCTTGCTTACGCTGCATGCGGGCAGTCAGATTGTGCTGTACCAACCCCACGCAACGACGCACCTTGGCCCTTGTCCGCTGCCCTCTTCCTAGCTTCTCCTCTCCGTCCTGCTCCTCCTCGTCTTCGCTCGACTCCTCCACGGCCGGTGGTTCCGACGACTTCACATCGTCCTCAGACAGTTCCGATCCAAACTCATCCTCGTCCGAGTCCGCCGAATGCCGCTTTTTCCGTCGCCTGATAAGCAATTAGCATGAATCCCAGCCGCATCAAGGTCTACCGCCGTACTTGGTCGTCCCATTCGGCTTGGCCGGTGCTTTCCGCTTCGTCGGCACCCTCTCCTTTCGTTCCTTCTCCTTCTTCTCTTTGGGAGTCGTATACTGCGTCTTGATCCATTCGGCGGTCTCGGTCGGCAGGTACACCGTCTCCATGATCATCTTCGACGTCTCTGCATTTGGAAGGGGCCGCAGGATATCCGATGGGAGTTTGACCTTGCCCGGGAACGTCGTCATGTTAAGCCCATGGTGATGGGCATACAACTTGATCAGTTCCTGTGCAAGCTCTGACACAACGTAGAGATTCTGTACAACTTTTAACGCCGGCACGTCAGCAAAGCAAATGTGCCCACCTCGCTGTGCTGCTGCGACTCGGCATCTCGCACCGTCTTGGCCTTCATCGCGAGATGGTACAGCAACGAGATTGTGTCCGCATTGGCGATCATGTCAAGATAAAAGTTGATATACCTGGTGCCAGCGTTAGATGTGCCCCCAGGCAAGTGGAAAGCACCCACTTTGCGGTGTCAACCATCTCATCTACGGTGGTGGCGAAATCTGGATGGTGAGCCAGCAAGTGCAATAGTCGCAGGAACATCATCTCCAGATGCTTCATCCGCTGGTCTGAGTCGATCGACAGTCAGTATATTTCACAGAAGAGCGCACTGCGCATACCAGGCTGCAGCCTTTTGACAACACCTGTCACATACGAGGAAGCCTTGCAGACAGTCGGGTCAGCATTCGGAGGAAACATCAAGTGACGATGCCACTCACCAGGGTCTTCACATCCTGCTCTGGGTCGTGTACCGTCAAGAAGGGAATTACATTGAAGTAGGGAGGCAATCGAGGCGGGTGCAACATCGAAACAAGCCTCTTGAGGAATGTGATGCGAACATTGAAACACGTGTCTTGCACCGTCAACGCCAGCTTCAAGAAGCGCGGGGCAATGGCTTGCGCAAAGGCCGGGACCGTTGCCAAATGCAATAGCGATATCGCCGCCTGGAGACGCATCCGCGACATCACTTTCAGACTGTGTCACGCTCGCTGAGAAGGTCCAGAAGCTCGATCGAATAGGCATAACGTACTCTTCGTCTGCGTCAGGAACCAGCGACCCACCAAGCTCTAGAATCGTTGCCAGCATTTTCAGCACCGGGGTCGCCATTTCGACCGCTTTATCCGATTTCGCATGCGCCAGACTGCGATTCCGGCATACTTTGAGCGCCAGAATCTTGGCACGCAGATTATCCGTGACCTCGGCTTCCTCTGCCCACTCTTCATCGGTTTCCATCGCATCCTGAAAGCCAATCAGACAATGAAAAAGCATAGATATCAACGGCATCACACACATCCAGTCGGCCGGTGGGCACCATCAACAACTGCTTCAGCAAGAACTCCATCAGCACGTCGCTTTTGTGCTCGAACGAGTTCGGCGCAAATCGTGCAAACTGGGCTAGGACCGCAACGTGCGCAACAAGAATCTCGGAAGAAGCCGTTCCGAGAGCGTCACAGATAGACTCGACGACTTCATCACAGACGGCGTCCTTATTTTTCGAAAAAGTCAAGAATCGGGCCGCGAACTTGGCCTGTCGAGGAGAGCCTTCAAGAGCAAGATGCTTGATGCGCTCAAACGTCCGCCTGCACAGACAAATCAGCCGACGTCTTTGCAATGCCAGTCCCACGAGGGAAGTACGTACTTGTCCAGGGCTACTGATCCCTCGTCGATACGCACTAGTCCAGCTAGTGCTTGTATGGCGACCTCCACTAATCGGGAATTAGGATTCCCGGCCGCATCCTCCGCAGCGGAGATGCTCTTCGCCAACTCCCCGACATGGTTCTTATACAATATCGAGGAGTGTTTCGCAACAAAGGCCAGCAGCTTCGCCGCGTTGGCCGCTGTGACCGTGTTCGGCTTCTGCAACCGCCTGAGCAGAGTCGGGATCGAAGATTGATTGACTGTTCGCAAGGACGCTTGACGAACGATGAACGACATCGCGGACACCAGATTTGGCGCGACATTGTCCATTCGTTTATGAAACTCAGTCTTCGAAGATCAGACTTGTGTGTAGACTAATCCAATTGAGTCGACTCACGCTGGCTTTGACAAGACCTTTGAGATCCGTCTGCGGATCCATACAAGTCTTAAGCAACTTGTAGAGCCTCTGCTCATTCAGCTTTGCGAAAGCATTCAGGTCCTCTCCCATCTTCAGTGGATCAGGCGATGACACTGCCGGCCATCATTGGTTTATGCCGCAGGATCGTGGCAAAAACAAGAACTCACTTGCAATGTACTTGATGACACTGGCAAGCTTGGACTTGACACTGTCTTCGTTCTCGTCAATCACTCCACCCTGAACTCCGTCAGTCATAAACTATGATAGGGTACGAGCACAAACGTTGTTGGCTATGCAGCTCTCGACGAAGAGATCAAAGATCGTCGGACGTCTGTAGATGCTGTGTGAGGTGTGGACATCAGAAGAAAGAAGAACGCTCACGCTCTTTGAAGAGTACTGAAACTCAGCAGCGACGCTACACTCTGTTCTTCATCCAAAGATGCCATCACAGTAAGTAATCGATCTGTCCAGGCGGCTTCATCGACTTCAACACTCTTCGAACTAGACGCAGCAGATGACGGGGTGGGCAAAGGCAGGATGAACTCTGCCAGCACTTCATCTACCTGGAGTCTGATGGATTTCATCAGTTCAACAGATCGCCACAGTGAGCTTCAGACTGGCCTAATCTCAGCGTTTGTTCTGACTGCAGCAAACATGTCATTTGGGATCCAGGCGAAGTGATCAATGGCAGCCATGTCCTTGCTTTCTCTGAGAGAAAATGAGACTCGTCGCGAAGCTCAAAGATAAGACCTACATTTCAGGATATGCTAGGGCATAAAGCTTCCCCAGTGCTCGAATAGCTTCCGCCCTCACCGAAGGCTAAAACATACAAATCACAAAACCGATCTCCATACATTCTGAATCTGCGCACCTTCTTATCCAACATGCGGCCAGCCACAGCTTTCAACTGATCGACCTTGACGTGATGCAATGCAGTCTCGTAGTCCATGCTTGAATATACTCGGCAGACTGCAGCCCGCACTTTCTCGTCCGGGTCTAGGAGTTTGGTCGTCAAAGCTTCCTCGACTGCGGCCCTTTGCTCTGAGCTTGCACTGGCGCGTACAAGAAGTGCAGAGGACGCTTCGATGAACTTGATGCGCACAGCGGACGACTTGTCGTTCCTGCGCTTGAGCCACACATTCCAGGTCATCGGGAACTTGCGCGTTAGCGTCAGCCCGTGGGTTGGCTCTGCGAACATCTCGCCGAGGGTCTCGGTGACGATAAGCCGGAGCTGCACCTCCTCCGTTTGTAACTCTTCTTCCAGCTGAGGAATGACGGTGACCAGGACTTCGGGACACGCCGCGTGAAGACGCTGGACGAGTTCGTGCTCGGTGCGGATGTCGTCAAAGTCGTCGTCGTCGTGCTCGGACACGATGTGTTCCGTGAAATGCTGTGCAACATGGCGTTGGAGTTTATCGGCCGTGGCGGTACACACATGCACCGCTAGCCGGTATTGCGCGTTCTCTTTGCGCTTTAAACGAACCAATCAGGACGTGGTGAGGATACATCAAGAGATGGCCACCCACTGCGTTCTTGTCCATGAATTGTGCCAACAGAATCTCCAGAACCGCCCCAGGCAACACCTGGCACTCGTCTATGAGCGCCACGAGGATCTCCCCCAGGAACATCTCCACTTTACGCGCCAGGTCCCGTTTCACGATGGCGGAGAATTCGCGAAAGATCTCGGTCATGAGCTCCTCCGCGTTCGGCAAGTCGCACACCAAGACCACGCTCTTCACGGTCGACAACGACTCCAGAAGATGGAAGAATTGGGCGTAGTACGGACAGTCGGAGGCTAGGAGTCCTTTGCTGAGTTGGCGAAAGAAGAATTGGAAGATATCGCGTAGTTCGCCCGGAGTGTACGGTGCGTCTGGGGCTGTGAGACGGAGGATGTCCGCGAGGCAGCACGCGGCATAGGCTTTGACGCCTCGATCCTTGTGGAGTAGAATGTATTTGTCGATGAGCTCCTTGCGTACACCATTGAGAGAGGCTGGGTCGATGTGGTCTTGCTCGAGGTCCGCTAGTTCACGATGCAAGGTCTGAAGCTTTTTGAGGAGAACGTCCGTGGTCTGGCCCTTGCCGACGAGTTTCTCGCGGAATGCGAGCTTCTTCGGGGACGACACAGCCCCGTGCCGGGTTTGAGCCACCATTGGCCAGAAAGGAGGAGGAGAGCACGCGTTGTTTGTCCATGTCTCGTATCGACGTTATCAAACGCGCTCGAGCCTCTTGCACTCTCTTACTGGAAAACAATCAATTCCTGAATCCGGCTTGAAATGAAACACCTCTCTTGTCTATCTTGTACGAAATACCCTCTGGACAGCCTAATCCCGTTGCCCCCATCTTGTGTACCAGCCCGAAGGATCAGAATGTTCCGTTCAGCGCTTTGGTTCTCGTCTTGCATACAAATTTCAAGTGTGCATCAGAGAAGGGGTTGGATGACAAGCATTCTTCTCTCGACGCACCAGGTAGCAGGATGCTGCGATCCTTCTGCCAAGCGGATCGAAGTGTGGGTCGTGGAAATGCTATCGCGCTGCTTTTCGTCTCCAGAGTGCTCTTTGGGGTGCACCCACGTCAAGTTCTAGCAACGGGATCAAACGTGGACTGCATTGTCTCGGTGTGCACTCTCACGACCCATCATCATGCAGCTCCGTGTACTTTGCCAGCGCAGGCCTCTTCGTCTCTATCTTCTATGTAAGAACTCTACTGTTACATTTGCCACTGTTCACCTCATATACATCACCCGCGACGTCCGCTTTACTGTCAAGCTATCTCGGAGGAATCAGACGCTACGCTCCGTTTACGACCACCCCATTTATCATCGCAAGCATCGCAGCCCATCCCCTGCTCGCGGGTTCTCGTCGCGAATCAGTTATGTATTATCTATGTGCGTGGCTTGACCGAGATCCTCCAAGCAAGTGGTCTGGCAGATGAGCTGTTGCATGGGCATAATGGGACACTCTCCAAGAGCGTCATTCTATCGGTGGATGCTACTCTGTCGCAGTCTGCCACACATACTACGGCTCCAAATTTGTCAGCCTACCACTTGGACAAGGTCTCTGCCGGCCTTCCAGCAGAGCATCGCCATCTTCAGCGATCACATGCGTTTATTGCTGGTGTCTTCTGTGTTGGCGCAGTACCCAGGATCCCCTTTGGCTGCTTCGTTGCTGGGGCAGGTAGCTTCGTAGTTGGCTGGGAAGCTGCTGCGGTCAGACATTTGTGCTTTTTGTCATCTGGCAACCGTTCTGGGTTTTTACATAAGTGTTGGGCTGTCAAAGTTAGGACCCATACACATCTACGTTTGTCTTTGCCTCTCGGCTTCGCTTTTTTACGGGAAAATGATGACAACACGGAGTATTGAGAAGCGCGCCTCGTCACGCTGCGCATGATGCTTGCCTTGACGCCGTCCGGTAAGCAATGACCTGCGTCCATGTTTCTACGTGACGATTACACTACAACACGTTCCGCGCTCAGCCAAGTTCAACATTACATGTACATTGAAGTTTACAAGAATGGCATTTCAATTCTAACTAATGCAGCATGAAACGTGCTCAATTCGGTCGAAGACCTGCTCAGGCTTGTCAACAAATACTCGTCAGCTGACTCCCGTTTATGTAGAAAATACAGCTTCGAGGACGGAAAAAAGCGGGTACATCTATCTAGTAATCTACGACGACTCAGCCAGTGTCTGCTTGACCAAATCTTCTAAAATCTGCGCGTCGGCCGAAAACTTGGCCAGCCCTTCGGGGACCTTGACAGCCGCAACTTCCTCTCGGGCGATGTCCCGAGCATACAGAGCTGCCGCGTCCTCAGCACACCCGCTGCCAAAGTACACAGTCGACACAGAGACATCGACGGACTCCGATGCAAAGGGCAGCGCCGGCTTGATGAGATCCTGTCGGACCCGGACACCCTCCAACAACACGGGGGGAATAGTCACCAGGTCCGGCCCACCCGCCACTCCGTACTTGCACACCTCGACGATTTCCTCCGGTGCCCTGAATCCCGCAGCCATCACATGCGTCCGCCCGGACCAGCCGTTCGCGTCGTAAGTTGCGCGGATTGCCCGCACGAGCAGCATCCCAGGGTGTTCTGCGAGATCCGTCGCAGGAGGTCGGCCATGCGCATCCCAAAAATCTTTGACACGTCCAATGAAGGGCGAGATGACCGAGAGTCCGGCTTGGGCACACGCAATAGCCTGTATGCGTCCGAAAATGAGCGTCATGTTGGTATGAATAGCGAGTTCTCCGGCCGCCGGATGCTCCAACGTTTGAGCGGCGACGATCCCTTCGTATGTGGCGGGTATTTTGATGAGGATGCGGGTTCGGGGGATGCCAAGTTCCTCCAGGAGGGATACAAGATTACGGCCCTGGAGCACGGTCAGAGACGAGGATCTCAGTGAGCAGTAGTATAACGCACCTTTTGGACCATGGCCTCTGTATCGTACCCGATCCTCGGGTCTACAGAGACCGACACCCGCCCAGGCACAATCCGCGCGATCTGGGAACCGACTTGCGCAAGCTATTGTGACAGTTGTGAGCTGAGCCGCAGCTCAGAATCATGACGACGCACCAGGCGATCCATGGCAAGCACCGTTGTCTCCTCCGCACTCCCAGCAGGCATCTTCCCCCGCGCATAATTCACCGCGTCCTGCACAATGGCTGCATATTCCGGCTTCGACACGGCAGCAAGGACGAGTGACGGATTGGTTGTGGCGTCGGTCAGGTCGTTCTGGAAAGGCCAGATCTCTGGGAATACGTTTCGGATGACGCGGCGCCAATTCGAAGCGAAGATTACGGACGGTTGTATTCACCCGTGTCTGAGGCGAAGCGCACACCAGAGCTACGGACAGCTTGCAGGCCAGAAAGAGGGGGGGCCGCCATCGCACAGGTCGGAAAAATGGAGAGAGAAGCAGAAGCGTAGTGAGCAGCGATTTAAGAGCATGAATTGGATGTCGCCATTCTGATCGATTCGATACCGGCCGAAAAAGGATGACGATCCATGAACGTGTCACGATATGATGACACCGGACGGCATCCGCATGAAAATGCTATCAGACACCCCACGAGCGTCGAGAGATCCTAATGGCGAAAAGGGCCAAATCGAAAAATGCACCGGCGGAAGCAAAAAAAGATCGACGAATCGAGGGCGATCATCGGTGGCGATCATTCCCGATATGGAACGGTGTAAGCAAGTCCTAAGCCCCCAGCGTCTTGAGGATTCCCACCAATCTCTCTTTCCGCACAGGGATCCATAATACCTCCCCACCCGAGCTCGCCTGGGCGGAAAGGACGAGACCGTGATCCAAGAACTCTCCCAGCAACGCACGCACGGCCGTATCCGTTTGACCCAGAAACTCTTGCCTCGCCAAGGGAAAGAGGACATCGTAAGCAACGGCTGTCTCCCGCAGCATATCCACGCTCGGATCGCCTGCGTCAATGCTCTCCAACTGGCGTCTGGCCATCAAGATAAACAGCTTCTTCGCCCTGTCATTCACAGCAGCCAAAACATGCAGGGCTGCGGTCTCTGATATCGCCGCACCCGGAGCTTGTCCTGAGCCGATGGCAGCATCAGCATGTCTGCGCCCAGATGCTCCTGTCACGGACGTGTGATCCGCGAATGTAAGCTCGAAGTCGTAGCCGGCCAATGTCGTGCAGTCGTGCCACAGCCACGCAAAACCTCGCCGCGGAGTCTTGCCTGGTGCTGCCACCCCGTCTTTGCGGGTCGCTGATTCTGTCGCTGTGAAAAGGAGCGGCGCGTTGATGTGGTCGACAGAGGCGACCAAGTGGATCCGCGGGTGGAGCGCAAGGAGGGACAGGCACGGTTTGGCTTTTGGGGCGCGCGTGAGGAGGAAGTCAATGTTGTGGATAATGAGGTAGAGGTCTCCTCGAGTACGCTTGTCGGAAAAGAAATCGTATATCCGACGCGCTTGGCCATCCGGGGTATTGGGAGTGAGAGGCAGCGATGACACGCCCTTGATATCCTCGATGGACCCAAGGACGTCTCTAAGAGTCACCTCGGGGTGAAATCCATTAACAACTACCACATGCCCCTTCTTTGCACATCGCGTCGTCGCAAACTCGTTCAGCCACTTTCTCTTCGACCCATATCCGTAGCACACCACGTTGAACCCTTCCTGAAGCTCGCACATGATTTGTGTGTGGAGTGCGGAGCGCACGGGCTCATGAAGGATCCGCGATTCCAACTTCTTCTCGCCTATCGAGTCGGATGATATGGCCTCGGCGTACTCCTCCGCAGAGAGCGGTTGGATGAGGGACGAGAATATGTTCTTAGAGGTCACTGCTCGCGAGGCAGTCGCGGAAAAGTACGCGTCAAACCCGGCTTGGACGATGACTCGCTTCGTATCGTCGTATGGGTCATCCTCGATGCCAGTAGCTTTCCCTTTGCCCTTGCCTTTGAGGTCGAGTTCGTCTTCTGATGTGGGTGACGGTGTGTCGGACTCGGAATCGTCGCTGCGTGGCATGGAGGAACAGCCTTTCCGTGAAGCTTCGACTGATAGGCAGGAGGAGGAGTGAACCGCTTCAACTTCAATTTTGCGAGCCGAATGAGGTCCACGTGACGGGTCATGTGCGCGCTCGCACGACCACCTTTCATCTGCGCTTCATTCACAAAATTTCTGCAACGATGTGTTAAACTGCCTCATCACTTGAGTCTTCGTGTACAATGCACACAGATGGTGCACACTCCATCTCTGGCGATGACGCCGCCATAATGACTCTGCGTGAGGCGGTGAAAGAAATCACCATAGGGAGCGTGAGTGGGCGTCTCTTGATCGACTCTAGTAATAAACGTTCTCCAGTTCGCAGGCGTCGTCTCGGAGGTTGGCTTTTCACCCAAATTTGATATCTCAAGTCTTACTCTTGCCTTTCCGCAGATTGTCGAATACCCGGCCGACCTTGCGAAAGTTCGCCTGCAAGCCCAACTCTTGACTCCGCCTTCAGAGACCAGGCAATTGTTCAAGGGCCCAGTGGATACCTTGGTAAAGACGTGGAGGAATGAAGGTGTGCGAGGTCTATATCGGGTGTGTAGTCCGGCGATTCAAATACACTCGACTGCGCTGACCACACATATCTTCAGGGTTTGTCGGTGCGTTTCGTTCCCGGGATACCTTTTGCTACCCATTGCCTCTGGCTAATTAGCTTTCAGGTCCCCATCGCTGGGTCTATGGCAGAGACGGCAGGCCTGTTCTGGTCATACTCTTACTTTCAGAACTTGATTCGCGTGCAAAATTCAATAGCATCATCGACGCCACTCACGATACCCCAAGTAGCACTGGCTGGTGCTAGCGCTGGATTTGTGGCGAGCTTCATCGTGTTCGTCGCGACATCCACACTGCTCGTCTCGCAAGACTCACTCGCGTTTGATCACAGGACTCCAATAGAACTAGTCAAGTGCAAAATGCAAGTGCAGCTCATGAACACGACAACTAGCGCCCGTGTCCCGCCCATCCACAGTGTACCCAAATCCGTTGCTTCGCTTGTTCGGACACGACCCTCTGAATCGCCTCTGTTCGACCTCATTGTCAAGGAGAAGAGGCCACCGGGGCTTGTTTCCATCGTCCGCTCCACCGTGGCCACCCACGGGCTAAAGGGTCTCTGGCTCGGGCACACGGGAACTATCCTCCGAGAAACAGGCGGCACAGCCAGTTGGTTTGCAGTGAAGGAATGGGTAGCCGAACGGCTGCTCGCACGACGGCTCGGCCCGGGTGTAAAGGCGGACCTGCTATCATGGGAATCTGCTGTATCCGGTGCAATATCTGGCGCGGCCTGCGTTCTCGCCCTGTATCCCGCGGATACAGTCAAGTCGGCTATGCAGACTGAGGAGGAGCTGCTCTCCCATCGGCGTTCTGCGGGTTACAAGCCCCGACCCCCGTCATTCTACCGGACGTTTACGGAGATGTATACGAGGCATGGTGTGAAGGGACTGTATGCTGGGGGTGGGATGACGATGATGCGTGCGGTGCCCAGCAGCGGCATTGTGTTCGTCGTTTACGACGGACTTTCCGCTTGGATTGGGTAGGGTCTTATATAAATCTAGATAATGAACTTCCTTCTGTAGCTTTAGATATACTTAGTGTGATATACGTGTTGACTAATAATAGACATCTCTGCTCACTTTCGAGATTCCGGAACAAAGCTGGAAACAACTGAGTTGTGCTCGTGAATGATCCTCAGTCCTTTACCCACGGTTGGCTGGAAAAGTTGCAGAAGAATCACACTCTGCGCTCACTCTTGAAGACTCGAATGTACAAGGGTAATGCAAACGTGAGGCTTCGGCCGGGAGCTTGCCCAAGCCAGCCGCCTTTCAATTCAAGAGAGTTCACGTGAGTGAGAACGCGATCAGCTGACGGACATTCTTTCTGACGTCATTCCATTATCTGCTCAGGTAGGATCTTTCTAGATGAGCACGTCAATCTTGCGATGAATTCGTCATTTCAGTGAGATTTTAATAGAATGAATTGATTCAGGCCAGGGTCTTTCGCATCCAAGGCCGCGTCCTATTGCTGACGACAAATCTTTGTTCGAGGACATGCCAGAGTTGAGTTCGAATATGTGATGAGCAAAGTTGTTTGTAGGTTTCTGTTTTTGTTTTGTTGATACAAGCAAAAAATCCCAGGTCTCACCCTCTAGACGGAAAGAGCTTGACCTGAGCCCACCGTTTTTTCGGCTACCCTCCCTTCAAAGCTGTCCCTTGCAAAGAGATTGCCGAGGTTATGCAGTCCTTTCAGGACAAATTTTTTCTCTCCCTGGGCCGGAGTCGTCCACTCGATCTCCCCCTCTCTCTCATCGATCGCCACTGCCGGATTCTTGTCCTCGTCCACGCCACTTATTCCCTCCGCTTCGTCTCGCCCTGAGTCGAGCAAGTCACCTTTCCGACCATCCGCCCACTTTCGCTCCTAGAGGAGACAGCCATACTCTCTCGGTGCATCTGTAGGCATTATGTCTTCAGGCTTCCCTATGCTGGACCTAGCCGTAGGACCTGATGTCCATCCTCTCCATCTCCATCTCTCCCCTCATTCACCAACGCTGTACTTCTGACACTGTCTACCGAGCCAGACGAGAGAGAGGTCGGGCCTGCCACCTCGGTTGAAGTATATCATCAAACGGAAATCCTGATGCTGTCTTCGCAGAGCAGCAGCTTGAGTGGGTTTCAGGTACTGCCAAATTATTTGATTATGACGCTTTGTAGGAGATAAAACAGGAATCAGCTGCATTGAAGGGTTGTTACTTGCTCAAAGTCTGTTGCTAGTTTGATGGTAGGGCTGACTGCACTCGCCATTGTCGACCATGCTTGTCACCCGCGCGGAGTCAAATCTCCCGGCCATCGAGGGCACGGGATCAACCCACTCTGGAGGAATGCATAGATGACTCTGCGGCGTGTGAAACGTCCCCGTCCGAGCGCTCTCGTGCTGGGAGCAGCAAAGGAAGTAGGGAGCTTTGCACCGTGCAACCCAGCGATCAGGTAGACTGAGCTCAAGTACACCACCTAAACGTGCGATTCCGACATGAGTCATTATTGATCATCAATTTTGCATGTCTTGAGAACTGGACTCCGTGTCTGCTATCGAGCCAGATGTAAACTAGCACCTGCGGATGAGGGCAAACCTGGAAAGACCATCACAACTGAAATCTCTGACAAACCACCAGCCATATGCCACTCATTCCCAAAGCATAGAAGCGCCAAAGAATGGTATCCCAGAGGCAGCAGCGATGGATTCTTCGCGACTTGGATCGAGGCAAGAATCGTGCAGAGAGTAATGGTCCGAATCATTGACTGAAGTCATGACAAAGAATCACAAAAGTCACTGAAGTCCGTCAGTATCGTCGAACGAGGGATGCCAGGTCGACATTAGGCGGCGAAGACGAGTCTAGATAGGCTAGATAGATGTCAGACATGTGAAGGACGAGCACCGAGCTGAGGAGGGAAAAAAGGATTGGCTGCCGAGCTCCAGTCGAACGAGTTTCCTAACCTCAAGCTGTTCCACGACTTGGACCAAGAATCTGGATAGCACAGAGCATCAGTTGGGATGGCGAAAAGAAATCGTAAGCGCATCGTGACTCGTAAGCTTGCGGACGATATCAGATTCGGATATCGCCGACCCTCGTGAAGTTTCTCCACCTTCGTCGTCCTGCACGCTTCTGCGTGTCCACCTCTCGGATCCGCGTGTTTCCGCAGCCCACACCCTCCAACGGCGAAATCTGACCCGGCATCATGTCCGACATCCCTCAAAAACGAGTCCTCCCATCGAAGGAATCCGGGCTCTTCAAGGAACTGCTGTCGCTTTACGAGACGAGGCAACTGAAGAAGGGCCTCAAAACCGCGGACCAGATCCTGAAAAAATTCCCCGAGCATGGAGGTGCAGTCGACTCCCGCGCCGCACCGCCTAGGCATGGGCCGCTCACGCGCAACCACAGAGACGACGTGCATGAAGGGACTGATAATCACGCACATGGGGCGGCGGGAGGAGGGGCTCGATCTCGTCAAGAAGGGCGTCCGGCTCGATCTCACGTCGCACATCTGCTGGCACGTCTACGGGCTCATCCACAAGGGCGAGAAGAATTACGAGGAGGCGCTTAAATGCTACACGCAGGCGTTGAAGTTCGACAAGGTTCGTCCCACCCCCCGCTGCGAGCAGGGGATGCTTCCTAACGTGACTTCCCCCCGTCTGTACCTGCAGGAAAACATGAACATCCTCCGCGACGCCGCACACCTACAGACGCAACTACGATTGTACGATGGCCTGGTCGAGACGCGACATGCGATCCTCAAATCCCGGCCAAATCTACGACAGCACTGGGTCGGGCTGGCGGTTGCGCATCACCTGAATGGGAATCTGGCGGATGCCAAGAAGGTGCTGGACTACTATGAGGGATCCCTAAAAGTGCGTGTTCAGACCTCCAGGCGCGCCAATCCCATCCTCATTCCCATGACAGAACATCCCGGATTACGATGTGGAGCATTCGGAGACCCTGCTTTATCATGTCCGATTGCTAGAGGAGATGGGAGAGCTGACGGAGGCTCTGACACTGCTGGATGTCAACGCGAAGGAGCGCGCTATCGTGGATCGGACAGCTATAATGGAAATCCGAGGTCCGTTCGAGCGCCCTTGATTCGATTACTTCCCCATGACACTGCTTTCTGCAGCACGCTTACTAACTAAACTAAGCTCTGAAGAGGCTGAGCAAGCATGGAAGATGCTCGTCGAACATAATCCCGAAAACTATGGCTACTACCGTGGCTATCTCTCCAATCTCGGTCTCTCGTTAGGTTCGTTCTCGAGTGTCTGACCTCTGACAATCATCGTCATCACTGCTCCTACAGACCCATCGGACCCCCAAGCGGCTAAGGCCCTGGCAAGCCTCGAAGATCTTTCATCACAACTTCCGAAAGCTACTGCTCCCCGACGTCTAGCTTTAACACTAGCCACTGGGGAGCATTTCCGGGAACTCCTGACACCGTACCTGACGCGGGGTCTGGAGAAGGGTGTCCCTTCGCTGTTCTCCGACATCAAGGGTTTGTGTCTCGACCCGTCAAAGCAAGCCACGATCGAGGACGTAGCCGAAACAGCGCTCAAGCAATACAATCCGGCCAAGGAAGTCGAGCCCACGTCGTATCTGTGGACGCTGTACTTCCTTGCGCAGCACCATTCGTATCTCGGCCACCACCAGAAGGCGTTGGAGGTGTTGGAGATCGCGCTGGAGCACACGCCCACGCTGCCGGAGCTGCTGATGCTCAAGGGGCGGGTGCTAAAACGGGCAGGAGATCTGTACGGCGGAGCGCGCTGCCTGGAAGATGCCCGACTGCTCGATGGGCAGGACCGGTTCCTGAACACGAAGAGCGCCAAGTATCGACTAAGAGCGGGAATGGTCGAGGAAGCGAGTCAGTTGCTGGGGTTGTTCACAAAGGTCCGCGGCGGTCATGTTTGCTTGTCGTCACTACTGACGGCGGTTTCAATTTCAGAAAGACGCGCCCAGCCCCGGTGCCGATCTCGAAGACATGCAGTCGCTCTTCTACCTCGTCGAAGAGGCCAACGCGCACAACCGTAACGGCGCGCTTGGATTTGCCCTCAAGAAGTACATGGCCGTGAAGAAGGTATTTGATGATGTGGAGGACGACCAGTATGATTTCCACGGCTACTCGCTGCGCAAGTTCACCATCAGCATCTACCTGAAGTAGGCGGTCTTCAGCGTAGAGCGGATATCTTTTTCTGATGAGCGGATTCCCAGCATGCTCAAATGGGAAGACCATCTCAGGTCGCATCCTGCATATGTGACCTCGGCTCTCTCTGCTTCCCGCGTAGGCTTCACATGCTTCTTCGTTTCCGACTTTTGAAGGTTTCGTAGATTTTCGTTAGACTTCACGATGACCCTTCTCTCGCTTCGGGTGCGGGTTCTAATGGTATGCGCTACTCCAATGATGGAATTTGGATTCATCTCTAATGCCTCGCAGCACAGCTGACCGACGCGCAGAAGAAGGCGAAGAAGAAAGCCAAAAAGGCAGCAGAGAAGGTCAAAGAGGATGCCAAGAAGGGTAGGATCCTGTCTCGGTGTCTGTAAATATTGTTCTCATTTTCTTTGTCGCCACAGCTGCGACGACACAACAAAACAACAACGAAGACAAGGGTCTCGAGCCACCTCAGACCGATGACGACCCTGACGGCACGAAACTGGTGCAGTGCAAAGATCCATTAGACCGTGCTCTCAAGCTTCTCCGGCCGCTTCTCTCCCTGGAAGAAAAGAACATCCAGGTTTGGATCGTCTCATATGATGTGGCGTTCCGACGGAGTGCGATTCTTGCTTTGTTCGTGGTCGGCCGTTATTGACTAGGGTCATCAGAAAAGTATCTGCAGGCGGCCAAGGCTTTGCTGCGCGCTGCAGCCCTCGATCCTGAGGATCCGGAGCTGCATATAAGACGAGTGGAGCTCCAGCAGACTGGTAAGCGGGTGCAATATGTGTCCTCAACCTCGCTCTGACCCGGCCCAGTCACAACACTGCCTGCGTCTGCAGGGGACACCACCGCTCTGTTGAAGGACTCGGTGGCAAAACTTCTCCCTACTGACGTTTCGCTGGAAGCGTTCAACTCGCAGTATCTCCAACGACACTCGACCTCGGCTCCCGCTGTCCTGGCGGTGTCGAAAGTGTCGGCCAAACTGGGGGCTCCAGCCGACGAGACCGTATTCAGCGTGTTCAACCCAGATGTAACGCTGACGGTCAAGGTGCGTGGCCTTACCGAGAGGGATACCGGCCAGACCCTAATCTTCTACTAGGATGCGCAATCGATCCTCAGCTATCTCACGGAGACCAAATCTCCAAGGGCGGATGAGTTCAGGACACGATGTGCCGACAAGTTTGTGCTCTCCACGGTGTTCCGCACCGCGAAAGAGCTCGAGCAGTTGAAGGCCGCGACGCTGGCCGCCCGCGTGGTCGACGACAAAGTGGATCCGGAGGAGGTGGCCTGATCAGAACCGCGAATTGTAGATTACATATATGTACTAGATGAGGGCCTATCGGTAATCTTGCCTATTGATTGTTGTAGATTCGGTGTGAGTCAATGGGAGGTTCCAGCCATTGGTCCCTCGGTCAGATCTCCGCTCACAGTTCCGGGCAGCAGTACTTAAGGGATGCGAGAAAACGGAGCAATCAATTGCTGTGCACATGGACAACATCTATAAACGCCCGCCACAAATCGAATCCAGCAGAACATCCAAAAGCGAGACCCTGTGATCAAGTCAGCCTCAATGATGTAAGTGACGGATACGGGACTTACCGTGAGCAGTGCGGGCAAAGCACCCGAAACGGAAGCTACCCAAGCCTTGAAATACTTCCCTTCATGCCTGCGAGACTGCAGAAGATGGTCAGCGCGAGGCGTAACATGAACAGACGGATTGCTCGTCATGGGATATGTCACCGAGATGGCCAGTCTCTCAACGGCCTCTGAGCGCCGCGTTTAGCAGAAAGAGACGACTCATCTTTTCTCGTGAGGATGCTGAGCTTGGGTTAGATGGGGAATCAGGCGATGGGCGGATCGGCCGGCGTGCGATTGGCTCTGTCTTCCACCTGCGAGAGATCTGTCAGCGAACATCTTCGATATGACGAACGAGAAGCCCATCATTGGGGGTTTCATCGAGATGGCCAGTCTCTCGACCCTCTCCGAGCGCCAAGGGAAATCAACTGAGCTGGTGAACACACTGAATGATTCGACGGAGAAGACCAAGACAATGACGCGATTGTATCTGCAACTTTTCAATTAGTTTACGGGCTCCACAGAGTGAACGAGAAGCCCATCCTCGAGGGTTTCATTGAGATGGCCGGTCTCTCAACCCCCTCCGGGCACAGGTGAAAGTGGACTTAGCTTTTCTGGGAGTGAACATGTAGTGACTTGCAGGCATTATCTAGAACACAGTCAGAAAGCTAGCTCAGACAGAAGAAAGGGATCTCATCCTCGAGAACTTCATCGGGATGGCCAATCCCTCAGTTCCCTCAGAGTAGAGGAAAGGAGGAAACAAGACTTAGCATGGGTGCGTCAAACATCAAAAGATGTGGACGAGAGCGGACACTCGTGTGTCTGAGACATCCGGCCGAAATCGAAGTGCGGATTCGGATCTACGACGGTCAATATGCACGGCAAGAGCAAGACGGCAGGCTAGAATATCCGGGTCAATAACACAGCATACGATATTCACTCACCGCGAGTCCTAGAAACCTGACCCCTCAAGCAGACTGCGTTCGCTTGAGCCAGTGCCGCAGACGACGGATGGGACTAGACTTCTTCTCCGACACGCTGGAGAGCATCGGGACGAGCTTGGGCGGGTAGAAGTGGCCGAGCCGGGGCCGCTCGGGAACGACATGGGGGCGCGGGATGCCGGCCAGCGGCAGCGCGGACTTTGCCTTGGGAGCGTCGGCCTCGATGTCGAGCCACGCGGGAATGGACGCGCAGGTGGAAATGACGGCATTCCGGACGGGTGCAAACACCATGTCTGTCTCAGAATCGAGGATCGGCGAAACGGCGACCCAGCCGTACGACTCTGTCGACGTGCGGGGGCACGCGAGGAGCTCCGAGAAGCGGAAACTGGACAGGTCTACACTGTACAGGGCGGCCAGCGATGAGTTGGAGGAGCACGATTGGGACTCGGGCGGCGGCAACTTGGAGAGAGAGGGCAGGAGGGGCGGCTGCGGAGGAGGCAGGCGAGAAACTTGGTCCTTGTGGAGCAACTTCTTCGCTTTCGAGAGGAGAGGAGCAGCAAGAGCGATGGAAACGGCGGCGATGCTGTCCATCTCCTCTCTCCAATACAGCTTTTTCATCTTTCCAATCTCGTACCGCAAGTCGAGGACCGAAGGACGGCAGGCGGGATCCGGGTTGAGCCCACGGGACAGGAGCTGGTACAGTGAGTTAGAGATGGGGAACTTCGACTTGAGGTACGCAGGGTCAGCGACGTAGGTCATCCAGGCGAGGTCGGAGGGGCTCGCTGTTTCCCATGGACAGCGACCACCGATCATGTTCAAGATGATGATGCAGAGCGCCCAGACATCAGCCGCCTGCGGGTCGTAGAAATCGGCCGTCTGCCCTAGGGCGAGAGCCTCTGCGAGATAGATCAGTCTATACTCGAGGTATAGATGATATGCACGACGTACCAGGAGGCATATAAGCCAATGTCCCGCCAGCGCTCGTCATTCCCAATTTGGTGCTGTCCACGGCAATGCCAAAGTCGCAAATCCCGACCTTGAGCCCGTCCTTGCTGCACAGTATGTTCTCCGGCTTGAGATCCCGGTGGGCCACCTCGCACTCGTGGATGTGCCGCACACCGTCCAGGATCTTGATGAACGTCTGCTTCAGTAAGTCCTCGCTCCAGTACGCACCGTTGTCGATCCGGTGCCACATGTTGCAGTGCATGACGTCCAGGACCGCGAACACATGGTCCCGTTCCACGAAGTGCCTGTGGAGTGTGACGACGGAGTCGTGGTCGGCACAGGCGTAGTGAAGCTCGAGCTCCTGAGTGACTCGATCGGACGGCGGACCCATACACTTGACGGCGTAGTAGTCGGGCTTAGCGGCCGGCGATGTCGTATCGAGCGCGTGGTAGACGATTCCGTATGACCCGGAACCGAGAACCTTGACGAGCTTCAGGCGGCCCCCGTCGACCGTTTCTCCAGTCAGGTTGGGAAACTGAGCAGAATATCTAGGCATGATGATCAAGTGAGAGCAAAGAAGATGGTAAATGCAATATAAATGCAATTTAATGCGCACAAAATCCACTGGTAGGTGGGAGTAGAGAAGAACAGATGTTGTTAGGGGATTTTCCAGTCAGTCAGGATCTTATACCGAGCGGATGTCTGAGTCGAGCCATGGGGCTAGGACTTCCGCACCGGTCTCACTTACTGGTAAAGGGTGAATGTGCCGTCGTAGCTTACTGTGCCGAAGATCTTTCTTCCAATACCGTGTGCAGTACATGTTACCTTCTTCAAATGATCAAGTGATAACAACTTCGACATGGTGGAACGCGAAAGAGGATAAACACGATCACATGATGTAACTGTTCGCACGTGCAAGTCGAGTAAAATGTCAATCATAGTGCCGCTGGGTTCCAGGTAGAGGTGATTAGTAGTATATATCTAGGCTGTCTAGAATAAGTATGTACAATGTAAAGCAATACGACAACATAACCGCATCAATCGATGACATCCAAAACAAATCTCAGCGCACTGCCGTTGGCGACGCGTCCCTCGGGCAGAGGATGAGAACCCACACCCAGCACAGCCTCACGGGGGAGGCGTATCTTCGGCACGGGGGGAACCGAGCCCTGGACCAAAGCATCGTTGTGCAAAGCCTTGACGCGCAGGAAAGCGCTGTTGGGAACAGCCCGGGGGCGCGCCGGCAACTCCTCCTGATGGTCGACAAAGTTCGGCACAGTCAGCCAAGGGCTCTTGGGAAGCGGCTGGGGAGTTCTGAAAACAACGGGATGAGGAAACGGAGCGGGCAGTTCCGTCCGGCGATGCGACCGCGTAAACTCTTCTCCCCGCGACGAAGTCAGCCGCGAAAGATGGGCTAGCGGGACAATCTGGACGGCATCAGGCTTGGGTTCTCGGGCTAGGAATCGGCGAAGATCAGAAGATTCGACGCGGGACCCTGCCGGACGCAGTGGCAGCACACAAGGAGCACGCTGGACAGCGGGCGGATCCTTGAAAACCGTGGGCCGCTCGGCCCAGATGGCCTCCTCCTCTTCGATCCATTCTGCCGAAACGTCGTAGCCGACAACAACAGCCCGGACATAAGATGTCTGAACAGTGCGGGCCAAGGAAGCGATCGAAGAAAAGAGGCTCGGGATGACGGAAGCCATAGCCGCGGTGACAGCGGGAGGAGGTTCAGGCATGCGCAACGGATGTGTGGATGCAAATACGCGCGTGGAATTCCGCCAGCGACATGTGCATCCTCCACCAGGTCGAACCGGAGAAGGCGATGCGGCTCGTGGCCCAGCGCTGATCCAATTACGCGCACTCAATTGTCGTCGGATATAGGACGATGGCTGCGGAGACTTCGAAAGAGATGGAGAATCGAGCAAGGTCGATGACGTCCTCCACGAGGATGGTGCTGTCGTGACGCTTGCGTTGCTCGATCGCCGCGAGGATCCCCCAAAAGACAACCAAGAGCCTGCCCGAGATAAACCTGAGGACGAAGTCGACGGAGACGACGGCGGGGGCGACGGCAAGGACTCGCAACTGGAGCATGTCATGGGCTCCGCGCGCTGCTTTCCCTTGTCGATGCCAGCCAGGAGGTAGCCACTGCGGTCCAGCAAGATATCTATCAACATGCGTTCCCGGCGTGGCTCGGAACTGCGTGTCAGAATGCGCTCGCTCGACAGCACTGGAAATAGATCGCCCTGCATGCTGTTCAACACTTGCTGAAACGTCACTCGAATAGGAGACCGATATTCAGGCGCTTCGTCACGGGGCAATGGCTCCACTTTCGGGGCAGTAGGTCTTGCCTCGACTGCAGGACGAACGCGCGTAGGCACATTGTTGCGCGGAGTGAAAGGGAAGTCGTATGTGAAACGGACAGGAGGTGCGGGGACGGATGGGCGGTCTACTGCATAGCTTAGCGCCCGTGCTACCGGTCTCGTCTGCGCACAGTCAGCTTCATCATTTCCCAGTAGGTTTGGCTCACTCACCCGGCGGCGACCCATATCCAAGACCGCTGCGGCAGCCTGCCTCTCTTTGACCAAACGTAACCTCAGCTGCTCCTGCTCCTCCATGACCTCTGCCGCGGCCTGGCGTCGCTTCATGGCAGTCCAGCGAGCGCGCTCATCACGATGCCGGCGAGACTCGTTCTCCCAGAGGAGCTCCTTCTCTTTCAGCTGTGCGGCCCGGCGAGCCTCCGCGGCCGCGGCCAACTTGCTTTCCGAGCTATAATTCTGGCTCGGCTTGCCCCGGCCGTCGTCGGGTGCACCGTATGGCAGGAAACAAACGTCGAAGTCTTCGTCCTTTACGGCGGCGATACGAGGATCATTGTCAGACGTAACCTCGATGCCTTGGAGCCGCAGAAGCAGCACCTTGGCTAAGTGGAAGTCGTCCGCGGCATACGCGTTGTGTACTTGGTCACACAGAGTCAGAGCGGGAGGAGGAGTGGCAGGGCGGGAGTGAGAGTGGGAGCGGGAACGAGAAGCGGGGGTGCGTGGGGAACTGTTAGAAGGTGATGGTGAGGATGAGCGGGTGTCGCCGAGGGCGGAAAGCCGAGTTTGATCGTGTGACCGACCTCGCTCGAGTGGGCGACCGCGGCTCTGCATCGCGGCGTACATCGCGTTGCGTCGTCAGAGCGAGACGAAAGCGCTGTGGATGTGTGGGAAGTGGACAAGTCAGAGCGGGAGCGGCGACGTATTGGAAGCGGTAGATATGGACGCACTGCCACCCGATAAGCAAGACACTTGCGTGGCACTCGTGTGCCTTTTTTGTGTACGCATGAACCCTTATCATGTGCCACCAGGTCGCGCCGAGATGTTGTGTCTTGATCATCTTCTTGTTTGACGCCGCCGGCAAGTTCAATCTTGATTCAATCCCTTACATTCGACGGGCCATCTCATCGATTCGAGTAACATCTCAATCATCTTCCAGTCTCCTCTGCTATCAAGCTTCCTAATCATCTGCAAGCTCATACTTTGGCTCCATGAGGAATCGAAGGCCGGTTCGAGCATCTTGGACGCCGGCCGACGCATCGCATTCGCTCCAGGGTCTGTCGTGGAACTCTTCCCGAGTTGTGGAGACCAAGTCATCCCGCTGAGTCCGGACGTAACTTGACGACTCCTTCGAAGTACAACGGCGATACACGCCGTGGCCCGGCTGCTAAGCAACAAAGTCGCTGTGAACGATGGCCTGGATTCGCGTGGTCGTCCGCACGGATCTTGTCAGCACGCGTTGATTCCCGGAATATCTCATGTTTTCCCTCACTTCCTGGAATACTTCCTCGATTCGGACGCGCGCTGCACTATTCGTGGATGCTCATTCCACGTTCGGTCTCAATACGGCTATCGATTTGGAATTGACTTGGGATGTTGGCGCGTTAGACCGACACGTGCAGCGCCGCAGCTTCATACGCATCCTCATCCTATCACAGCAACCGACCAGAGACTTTTTGGGACATGCAGCGCGAACTCTGCATCCCTGAGACTTACTAAGCGGTGGAGTGCAACGACCCTGAGGCCATCTCTCATCAAGCTGTTAATAAGTACCAATAGATGCGTGACTTGGAGTCAATCGTAATCACGCTTTGTCTTGTTTTTTCCACCACGTCGTACGTGTTCCTTATGCGTGCAGAGTTAGAGGGTGGAGTCTAGACGCTTGCTCTTTCCTTTCCGAGCAATGCGAAGGTTTCAGTTGTTTGTGGCTCTTCTCGTTGTTTACCTCGGCGACACAGCCATGTCTGCACCGCCACCCTTCACTGCTCCCTCCGACCAGCCACTCAGATTGCAGCCCTTGAAACGTGCTCGGATTGGACGCGGCCCCGGAGGCTACCTCAAAATATCCGATGGCAGACCGTCATCCCATCATTGCCGCACAGGATGGCACCGAGCCGCCCCCTGAAACGCCCGCCGTCCCTATCACCGAGCAGGAAGTGGGCGAGTACAGAGAGCAGGACAGATTCCTACCCGTGAGTCCATCTTCCAGCGCTCGCGTGCCCGCTTAGCCGAGGACCACCAGCTGACCTGATGCATCCAGATCGCCAATGTTTCGCGGATCATGAAAGCCTCGGTCCCACCCACCGCGAAGATAGCCAAAGACGCGAAGGAATGCGTGCAGGAATGTGTCTCCGAGTTCATTTCCTTCATCACTTCTGAAGCAGCGGAGCGCTGTCTGTCCGAGAAGCGAAAAACCATTGGTGGGGAAGATATCCTGTATGCCATGTCGACGCTGGGCTTCGACAACTATGCCGAGACGTTGAAGATTCACCTCGCGAAGCTGAGGCAGGTGAGTGGGACATTCAATCTCCCCAAGAGCGCATTTTTCGATCGTTTCTAGAATGGGCCGTCTGGGTCGGGGGGACCACGAGCAGAGCAGGCAATCGAGCCGCGTCCAGAGGAATAGCGCCTGTCCCTTCTCTTATGTACACAACGCGTCTAGACGCTCAGTATTTATTGGTTAGTCTATTGGCTACTGCGGTTGTACTTTCGTGACCAAGGAAAGGTCATTCCCAAAGGAGCTGGGCCAGTTTCCAGACCTTCATCACACCGGTTCCGATGCTGACAAGTAGAGTATGATCCCCTGACACTTGACATCGGACAGACAATCGAACTCACTTTCTCGACGCGACTGTGTCTAGAGGAACCCAGGCAGTGCAGGGTTCACTCAGAGCAGGGTTCAACTTCTTCGCAGATTTTTTGATCGGGAGAACACCAGCAGTGGTCGAGGCCAGAGTGGGGGGATTCGATAGGCCCTCGAGAAGGACCCATTGCACTCTGTACGTTTTCTTGATATGCGAGAAGACATGGACCACATCCCCTGCTGCTTTGATGTGGCTGATCTTTAGACCATCTAGGGCTTTGGACGGAGATTTGAATGATTGCTCATCTGGATGGAGCAAGGTGGAAAGCAAGTCCTCCACGCTACTCCGCGCTTGAGCCGAGGAAAGCGAAGCGGAAATATTCGGGCAAGTCGGGAATTCATCCAGCCCAGCTAACAGACCTGGATACAAAACACCGACGATTAAAATCGTTCACTGATCGGTGATGGACAAGATAATCACCTCCTTCCGGCCGTCTGACTAACAGGAATCTCCGATCAGACCCGGCGCGCCATTCGATAACGTTCACCAAGTCAAGTTCCTCGCGTGACTTTTTCTTTTCGGCTTTCATAGGAAAGACGGTGACCGGTGATGGACGGGGGACCGGCTCGCACAGGGAGCATAGGTCTTCGATATCGGGGACGGAGTTCTGAAACGCTTGATCAGCGGAAACAGCTCGTCAGCGGTGACGAAAGTAGAGACCACGCCAGTGTCCTGGTCAGTCTGACTTTGAATATACGCTGCGCACCAGCTTCCGATGGTACAATTCTCGCAGTCAGGGTCTCGGACTTTACAGACCGTGCTACCGAGTTCAATAAGCGCCTGATTGACATCTCCGGGGTGCTGAGAGGCATCTAAATTCGTGATGAGATATCTCGAAATACGTGAGGTGATGTCGATACACATCTTACCAAGATCGTGCACGAAAACACTGGCAGCATCCCAGAGAATGTCCAGTGTTTGTTTCGCTTTAGGAGACGCATGGAGTGCTAGAAACCGACTCAACAGTCGGTTCACGTTCCCGTCAAGCTAGAGTTGATTTATTCCGTGAAATTGAAACAGGAGCGAAAATAAATTCAGATTGGGATCGACTTACGACAGGAACTGCTTCTCCATAAGCGATTGAGCAAATTGCACCAGCACTGTATCGCCCAATCCCAGGTATATTGGCCTGCATGTCTCTTGCATTGTCAGGCAATCTGCCGTTGTAATCACGGCAGGCATTTTGAGCTCCTGAGAGCAGACGGCTGGCGCGACTATAGTAGCCTGAGGTCCGCAAGCAAAATTTGGCATTAGCGAGGTGGATATGCTCCAATCAAATCATACCCAGTCCTTTCCAGAGCGCATTGACATCGTCGATAGACGCGGACGCCTGATAAGTGATGAATATAATCAAGCTATGACACAGTGGTCGAATCGAACCAATTCACGAATGGTGGGAAATCTGGACAGGTGATCAGATCGGCGACTGTGTGCATCATGGCAGACAACGTACTTTTCCATCCACCTGTTGTAGTAGGGGATGACGGTGGCAACTTGCGTTTGTTGCAGCATGATTTCTGATATCCAAACCTGCCAACGGCTGAGCGATGCTTAAGTATTTGCGCTGCGGAACGCGTCACCTCGTAAGCGCGCTGGGCCCGCTCCTCGGTTCTCAATGTGGGATCATACGGCTTCCTCCACGGCATGTTTCGAGAGGCGTGGACTGCCGAGTACCATTGAAGCAAGGCCGTTCGAGTAGATCTCAAGTTCGCATCTTTTGCGATGACATGGAGAGATTTTGGATGTGGGGTAGCAGACAGTTCATCTGCAGTCGCGACAGCGTCAATCTCGCGTTTCGCTCGCTTCTTCTGTGGTTGCCGGCCGGCAGGTTTCTTTCGTTGAGATTTCGAAATGGTCGGCGTGACATATTCATCATCCGTATCGCTTGGATCAAAGTCCGACCCCGACTCGGAATCTGTATTTTTCCGCTTATTAGCCATCTATGGGATGATGAGGTGTGTGATATTAGCAGTGAAGTAGCATGTAAAAACCTAAATATACTGCTTGCCTCGATTTTGTGCTTGTGACGGAGTAAAGGTCAAATTCAAGCTGAGGGTTCAAGCTGGTTGATTGCAGGGAAAGCGCAAACACTGTCACGTGTCTGATGAGACACAAATAACGCAATGCATTGCCGTCATTTCTGCGCGGCGCACTTGGTTTTGTTTCAGTCTTGACTCGTTTACAGTGTCGTTTGACACTTATGTCGTCCATCCGACGTCTGCTCGTATCAACCTGGGCGCATTGTCCTTGATTTGGGCTCATCGTCATTAATCCTGTGCAGAGATGATAGCTTCACCGCCTCGCCTTGTATATATATAAGGACCCGAGGATCCGCTGCTATGCTCATCTTCACGTTCCTATCATCCGACCCCGGGGCAATGGCACGCGAGATTCGCGAGGCAGTGCGACACCGGAACGCAAGCAGTCGGTCTAAAAAGCCACGCTACGACGCGAATCCCTCATCGACCCCGGAACAGAATCCTGGTGGTATGGACTCGGACTCAAGAGGTCCCGTCACTCCACTACCTTCATCCATCACGTCCCGACTTTCGCTCGAGGTCTACGAACATATCATCGACGACCTCCACATCGACTAAGAGGGGCAGTCCCCGTCCCAACTTTCTGTCTGCAGCTTGGTATGCAGGGCGTGGCTCGCGCCCTCTAGGCGCCGTCTCTTTGCTTCGGTAAACCTGCGTCCCGAATTCGTCGCGTTTCTACGCGCCTCCTCGCACGCATACGACACGATCGTTCCCCACATCCGCGAACTGGGTGTCGGTGGAGGGTGGCTGCACCACGACCGGTCCGACTTCAGCAGCACCATGTTGTTCATGACGGACCTGGTCAAGCTGCGGGCTTTGAATCTCGAGGCATGGAGCTGGAGCTACCTGTCTACTTCCACCGCGTCCAAGTTGCTGCGCGGCGAGGGTCCCGCTTTTCGCGTCCTTACCGCGTTGGACCTGAAATATATTCAGTTCCCGTCGCTCTCGGCTCTTGCAACTCTAATCAGCGCATTTGTCCGGCTCAAGACTTTGGCGTTTGACAATGTCACCTGGGAGACGTCTGACGACGCCATGCCTCTGGCACCTCCTTTTGTATCCAGTCTCACGAAGCTGCATGTCGTGGCATGCTCCAATGAGGTGCTTATCTCCTGGCTTTTCGCCGATGCCTTGGGGGACCCTATAGTCAAGCTGAAACTTCGTTCTCTTTCACTTCCTGATATCCTACCCAACGAGGCTGGCAATATTGATCGTCTTGTCTCTTCGACGAGTTCTTCCTTGGAGCACTTGGACGTTGGGTTCATGGGCCATAGCACTGATGATGCACCCGTGATCTTGAGTAGGTCCGCTTACTTCCGAGCCAAGTACCTGCTGCTGACTGTATGTCAGAACTGGCCGAGAAAATCGATCTATCTCCTCATACCCAACTTTGCTCTCTCCACGTTCACCAAATTGTTCTCTATCAGTTTCCAGGCACTCCTCCGCACAGCTCCCAGTCCTCTCCCGCCGTCAATTTGCCCACGACATGGCTCGCCTCCTTGCTGTCCACGATCCGCTCCGCCCACTTTTCTCGGCTTACTCTCAGCATCTGGCTGGGCGAAGAACGACAGCTTGATTCTCTGGATTGGGACGGCTTTGTCCGAATCGTGTCGAACGAGCGCTTTGCAAGTCTGACGCAAGTCGAATTTCGAGTCCGCGGGCTTGGCAAAGCGATGAACGACGTCGTGAAGGGATGGATCTCTGACAGGATGAGCGGGTGGGCCCGTGTGACTGAATGTCTCCAGATCACCTTTGGATGATCAATCTTTCGCGCTTCGGACGCTTGAAGGGCTTGCCCTTATAACTGACTGCCTTATTCTCGCTGAAACTATCACGACCACTCTCTGCATTGACTGTATCTGTGACAACATATCCATTGTATCCCTAGCTTTAGATAAACTATATTGTATCAATATAACGAAACAGGGGCTGGCGAGCAGCTCTATACGTTTACAAGACATGGCCAGGTCGCGTAGGAACGAGAATACAGGGTGCTTATCTATCTTGCTCTGATGTCTGCATTCGAGGATTCCCTCGCAACATCATTATTGCAGCATCCTTTACGTGTAGGGTAACTCGAGGCCTGGCTCGTTGCGTAAATTGTCGGCCCAAAGACACGCTTAGACCGACACAGTAACATTGCTTCCGAGGATCGAAGGTCGTGTGTCCTCGCATCACTGTGATGGAGAATTATAATAACGAGCTGTCACAACGTCGTCACGGAAATATCGCCACGTACACCCCGCCGCCATGTCTTCTCGCATTAGCATTGCCCGCCCACAGTCGAGCAGCTACAATTCTGACCCTCACGGGCTTTCAAATTCTCGCTCGTCCTCGACTGGCTACCGCTCAGCCAACCCGGACGACCCTTTGGAGAAGCTCAAGGCACAGGCTCGACAGGTCGAGGATTATGTCGAGATCTACTCCCAGCCCTTGAAGCCCCACCTTCCCACCATTGGGCGGTTCCTCATTGTTGTTACGTTCCTTGAAGACGCGCTGCGTATCTTGACGCAGTGGGGAGACCAAATCTGGTATTTGCAGCAGTACGTTCCCGCTCGACGCCGCGCCCTTTTCTTTTCCTCGTGTCTCATTCGCGTTTCAGACACCGAAAATTCCCCTGGGGCATCTCGCACATCTTCTTGTTAATCAACGTCTTCGTACGTGTCCATTTGGTCCAGTGATTCCAACCTGCTCAAGGCGTTGACAGACCATGCTCGGCGCGTCGTCCATGATCATCCTCAAGCGCTTCACGGAATTCGCGGCTGCTGGTCTTCTCGGCGTTGTCATCATCCAGGGCTTTGGCTACGGTCTCATTTTCGACCTGAACTTCTTCCTCCGCAACCTGAGTGTCATCGGCGGGCTTTTCATGGTCTTCAGTGACTCCATCGTCAACCGCAAGAAGACCTTTGCTGGCATCCCCAGTATCAGCGAGACGGACCGCAGGAAATAGTGCGTCCGGCTGCTCTCGTGCTTGCTCTGACAACTGATGCCGAGCAATGACCACGTAGTTTCCTTCTCGCCGGCCGTGTCCTGCTGATCTTCCTTTTCCTCGGCTTCATCATCCAAGGCACCTGGAGCATTGCGCGTGTGTTCGTGTCGCTTTTCGGTCTCGCGGCATGCATAATGGTGGCTGTCGGCTTCAAGGCCAAATGGTCTGCCGCGTTCTTGGTGGTCGTTCTGAGCATCTTCAATGTTTTCGCCAACAACTGGTGGTCCGTTCACTCAAAGCACCCCCAGCGGGACTTCCTCAAGTATGTGTCACTCTTGTCCCACCCTCCGGATCTTGCGCTAACCGTCCCGAAGATACGACTTCTTCCAGACATTGTGTACGTGGCACTTTCACCCACTATGACAAACTGCTGACTCATCTGCAGCCATCGTTGGCGGTCTCATTCTTCTGGTCAACATGGGCCCGGGTGGTCTCTCAGTAGACGAGAAGAAAAAGACTTACTAAGTGGTATGGCGAGAGGTCTGCGACATGGCGTGCGCAATATACACATGTGGTTCGGTGGCTACACAGCATGCAAAATGAGGCAGACGCGATTTGACAGTGGCCTGTTTCTATTTATCTTACATTCGCAACGGGGGAATACGAGTGATTACAAAATGACACGGCCTGTTCAGAGACCCCGGGGTAATGTAATATTGAGAGGGGCGAATAGTGAAGAGTACAGAACATCTAGGCGATTACTTGGTCCGATCTAACAAAGCGCCGCCCATCATGAAGGGGTAGTCGGAAGGACTGTATTGAAGACCACATCCCAAAACTTGCCTATCAAACCGGTCAGCCGCGTAGGCACACGTAGCTCGAGGGGGGACGTACTAGTGACACCAAATCCGAGCTCGAAGTTCTTGTAATGATGAGCAAGGTGATACCGCTTTTGCTCCTGTATGTACGCAGGGAGATTGGTATGGTGCAATGCGTAGTGCATCACGTCGTATAAGATGTCTAGGGGGACGAGCAGTCAGCTCAATCGCAACGGTATCCCCACAAAAACAACGTACAAAACGCGAAGGCTCCTGAGATGATCCCGTTCGCTACAGCGGCGGGGAACAGGATGTGAGCGAGGCGCGTGAACGGGGCCTGCAGCACGGTGAACAGGAGCGGAGGCATGACAAGCCGCAACCTGCGAAAAAGACAATCAGTGTCGAGCTCCGCGGGAGCAATTACAGTGCATTACCGATCCATCGGGAGGTAGTGGTGGACTCCGTGCAACAGGAAATGCAGCAGGATGGCGACGGGGTGGTCGGGAAGATAGTCGTCGAGATGGAAAAGGAAGCGGTGCAGGACATACTCGAGGATCGTCCAGATGAAGTTGCCCAGGAAGAAGCAAACGCCTGTCTTGCCGATATTCTGCACAGTGAGTGCGTTCAACAGTAGATTCGACGGCAGGAGCGGCTGCACGGTGAACAGCGGGAGAACAGCGGGTGCGACGGAGAATTGGATCAGGGAGCGACAGAAAAGGTACGATGCGATGGGACCCCAGAACATGGGCACCACCCACCAAACTGTGCGGGTGAATCCCTGTGAGAGGAAGTCAGTGGCTTGATTTACGACGAGAAATGGAGTGTCCCACCTCGAGGAAGGAGGGGCCGAAGAGACGAGCAGACTCGTGAAGGTGCCGAGGCTGATGCACTTGCTGCAGATAGTAGGATTTACTAGAGGATGGAACATTTAGCGACGACTACTCCACTGGGATAGGGAAGCGACGCACCTAAAGTTAGCCTCCCACACTTGGCGTAACAGCGGCTTCCTGAGATCCAAAAACTGGTTCTTTTGAAAGTCCTCAGCGAAATCCGTTTCTTCCGGATGGAAATCATCGCCGGCAACGAAGTCTGGCATGGGTCATGAGTTTTCAAGACTGATGAGAGAAAAACATTGATGACGCACCGTCGCGCAGTGTCGTCTCATGCGTCCCAAGCCGTCCAATGAGGTAGTCTTCGAGCATTTCATACGCTGCAGAGGAGTGCTGTGGGGTGTCCTCTGCCTTGCCTGACATCGCCGCCTCGATATCCTGGCCGGCATATTTGAGAAGGATGTCGTCGCCTCCTGGGTGGTCGTCGACGAATTTTGAAACGTCGTAGACCTTGCCTTGGCGGGTCACCCAGCAGCTTGACCGGGTCTTGTGCGCGACAACATCTTCGTCGGCGTAGATACGAGTGCGTCTCTTTGACATGGCTGCGTCTTTCCAAGCACAAGAAATCTCATGATCCCATATAATGTACGCGTTACCATCACACTGATGTCACATCCCCGTGCTTCTCCGGGGTCCGGATCATCCCGCCGCGGGCATTTGCGCTCGGGACTGGAGCTGGACTGGTCTTTGGCTGTGCATGGGGCCGGTCCAGAGGTTCCCCGGCCGACTTTACTGGTTCATTAGTCATCTGGACATCCGCCCGGGATGATCTAAGGCCGAGGTCTACGACTTGGAGTCTGGCACAGCGAACGGCAGATCAAGGCGCTCCCAGGCCATCAATCAGCCCCGGGCGGAGTGTGATTGTGGGCGTCACTGCCACGGAGGGTTCGAACTTCGAACTCCCGCACTTCAATCATCGGTGTTCCCATCCATCTATTCTCGCGTGGCTGCCCATTCACATGGCATCCCAAGAAAATTACAAGTTCTAGCAAGTCAATCAACTCTCCAGAGTCAAACAGCGGTATTTATTGTCCCAGCGGCATTCTGAATGTCTCTCCTGTAGCCACAGAAGCCGAGATCCATGAGCGACACAGGGCGTTGTCGCTGATGTTCCATCCTGACAGGCATCCCGACGAAAGCCATAAAGCGGTAGCTACGCAAAATTTTCTTGAAGTTCAACGCGCATTTGAAGGTGCGGGTGCGCGGGCGTGACATGGGTCGGCGGTGGACTGATTTCATATCCCCCTCACCAGTGTTGTCTGATCCGTTCCTTCGGTTGGTTTCGCTCTGAATTCTCACTGTCATACAACAGTCGGCTTATGGACTCACTGGAAGCGCTGTCTACGATGCGTTGGGTACAGGTTGTCTAAATCATCCTTCGCCGTTAATTCCGCTTGCTCTTAGGTGAACGCGGTCTTTCGGCTAATTGGCTGGAAGAAACTAGGACCAGATCCATCGAGCAGGTCAGCAAGTAATCAAGATTGTTCTCTTCGCCCACAGCTGACGGGCGCCCTTGTCCAGCGAGATGTCATCTTCAAACAATTCCAGCGCGACTCGCTGCAGCATGACGCAGAGAGCGCCATTTCTCCGAGGGGCCGAGTCGTTTGCAATCTGGATGCGTCCGGATTGCTGGAAGGCGGGGATGTGTCTGATACCGCCCGCGGACAACAAGTCCGACTACTGAACTTTTCTGTGCATCATCATGTCAGTGTAAGTGGGCGACTGGATTCTTCAGAGTCATGCTGGCGTCTCGCACTGAAATGCGGTTGAACTAGAAAAGGATAAGTGAAAAGTCAACTCTTGGATTGGCTGTCCGCATCGCTCGGGCTGGTGCTTCGGGTCGAGGTAACTTTGTTGGCACGCTTCGACATCAGTATTCGCCACGGCTGCTCCTTCAAGTGAGTCCAATCACTAATCTCCCTGGCCGCCCCCCGATTTTCCTCGTCATCTGAAGGCTTCAGTCAATGTCCTCTCGCCTCGCAAAGTCACTCTTAAATCGCAGTACGAGTCCGAGCACGGCCGCATCTCGCTCGAGACGTCGATTAGGGGCGGGGATCTGTCGCAGCGCCCGCCCGTGCTCGTCTCTGTCCAGCGCGCGTTCTCGCGCTCCTCGTTGGGCTCGCTGGACATCGGATTCGATTCCCGTTATCCGCAGGTGACGATCGGTGTGCACCCTATCCAGCGTGCTTCTCCAGCATCGGCACATGAAAATCGCGCGCTGATTTCGTGGTGCTATGGGCTCAATCTAAATTCTTACGACCCCACCGTCTTTGGCGAACTCATCGCGTCTCTGGCGGATCTGTGCATCCAGAGCAGGCTTCGCCTGGAGTACGGATTCTTCGGTCCTACGTGGGTATTTTCCGCCGCTTGGCAAAGCCAGGCGGCGAGCATTTCTGCTTTGATGAAATTGAGCGACGAGGGGGTCGGATTTACCCTCGAGTGAGTTTGTATCCTCTCCAACGGGCTCGTGATTGGGGGCTGATCAGCCACGAGCTCGAGCTATCACGAACAGCGCCTGAGCATACCCATCCGCCTCTGCCATCAGTACAACGAGGCCGTCGCTCTGTGGACTGCCGTGATCCCCGTTGCCGCCTGTTTGTGCGCGTATGTTCTCAAATCGAGGACGGTGCGCCGCCTGCGAGAGCTGTGCGCGTCCATTCCCTAAAGTTTCCCACGCGCATTTTCATTGTGCTTTGGCAGCGAAATCCGACGGGCTCTCGAAGCACTGGAGCCTGATTCTCCGTCTCGACGGCATGCCGAAGAGTTGATTTCGGTATTCTTATCTCCCAAAGCTCAAGAGTCTGCACGACGCGAGCAGGCATCAGGTGGTTCGTCCTCGGAAGTGATTGGGACCTGATTCTGAGCCACCATCAGGCCTTATTGTCCTGGAAGCAACGTACGGGGCTCTGGACTGCCATGACAGAGATCGTGGTTTGTCGTGGGATATCACTATCCCGCTGCAGACCCTGGTCCGGCGTTCCCAATTGTACATTCCAGGTCGACATCCCAAGGCAAGCTGATGAACAGTATCCCCTTTCCGGTAAGAATCAATCACTAACTACTCGCAGAGCTCTATTATCGGTTTTCTCGATCCTGCCCCGTTCGCGACAAAGTCTATCCGCGTCCGGTATCTTTTCCGAGATCGACCGCATTTCACAGAAGTTCCTGAGCATCTGAATCTGGTCTTACCCTTGCCAGGTCAGTCCAAACTCTGCGCGGCAGCTGCAATGGTTAGCTGATGTATTGTTGGTGACATATCAGATCATGCCCTGTGAAGGAACATTATTCCTACGATCCTGTGAAATCCACCCCGCAATCTGTCAATGAAAGATATAGCCTCCATAATTCTCGTGGTTCTCGGATCAGGCAGTGACTGTTCACGCGGCGTCCATCTTGCGCGCCTGCGCGTGATTTCCAGACAACGCGGGGTTAGCCCGAGAGCCCGCTCAGCTTCTCTTCATTGGTTGGCTTTTAGCCGATCGGATTCTCATTTGCTGAGGGTCGATCACCGCCAAACCGGCCTGTGTCCCTCGGCGCCCGATTTCATCTTCGATGATTCGATGAAGCGGGTCGCTGAAAGACTTCATTAGACCATGATCTACGGCATACATGCAGCTCCAGTGCATGCTCGCGAAAGTCTTCTATATCCTTCTTGAAGGACGATTTGTTTGCGGATAACTCAAATCAAACTTTAAATAAATAATCGTCCAGTTGCGCTGCGCTTCGACCCTCCTAGGGTGCTCACGCACGGTATTTAACCTCCCCTCGCTCGCACCATCCATCTATCTACGTATTAGCCACTGCACCCACCCTCCCTCCCCGGCCATTCCACGAGTCCTTGTTAACCATGCAGCAGCCGACTCTGCGCAATGTGCGGATCCGCAGCACACGAGATGCCCTCGCTGTGTTCTACGCGGTCGCGCGCAGCACGCTACCCCTGATCACCCGTCGCCTGGACGCGGAGGAGCGGCTCGCCATCGCAGCGGGGACGGTCTTCGTCTGGGAGGAGAACGCGAATTCCGAGGCGACCGGGCTCGGGATGGAGCGCTGGTGAGTCCCGGTGACAGACAGGCTTCTCCTGTTGTGCGGCATGATATTGAACGAGGCCGAATTCCCGCTCTTCTAGGACCGATGGGATGGGCTGGGGTCCGAGCCGTGAGTTGCCTCCCATCATTCCCGCGCGTGGTGCCCCCTCACGTCAAGCCATCTCGCAGGCGTCCGCGATGTGCGGTTCACCGTATTTCCCTTCCATTTCCAACTGAGGCACGTGTCCAGGAGTTCCTGTTCTACCATCAAAAGGACTGCGATGCCGTCGACGAGCCGATCAATCCGATGACCCCCTGGGCGCAGATGATGAGGTGAGCACGGCCCGCCCGCTTGTGCTGTCCGAGCCCGCCTCACTGCTCGAGTCCAGGAAACGGTCTGCGCGCGGGGCAGCGGCGTGCGGCGTTTCCCGGAAACTGCAGCGACTGCACAAACAAACATACAGCGTGATTGTAACACTGCCGAAGGATCGACCATGCGGGATGGTGCGCAAGTGGCATTTGAGTGAGCCTCCCACCCCTGCTTCCGAGTCACCTCGCTCCGCGAGGCACGATCACCGGCTGACTGACTCTACTTCCCCCAGCGGCCTACTTCAATCAAGAAACCTTAAATGAGCTAGATACCATTGACGATTTACGATACCTCGACATGCCGGTTCCTGATGGCTGGTTCAGGAGCGCGCGTGCTACGAAGACTCGCCGCGAGAATCGGGCATTGGGAGGAGGCATTGACCAGCAGCAGCAGCATAACCGTCCGTCCGAGCCCGGCCGGGTGAGCTCTCCCACGTCCCCACTGGCAGCGGGCTGTGATATGATGGCAACGTTCAACCCTGTCCCGGCGGCACAGACAAGGTTCCGCGGGACCCTCAGAGCGGTGTTCCCCAGCAGCAGCGGCAGCCCCAAGCTCCTGCTACCCCTCCCACCCTCGTCTCCGAAACGCGCGGCTTTCATGATGTCCTCAGGGCTCGTACCCCTAGAATATCTCCAAAAACATTCCCAGCGAAATCGAAGAAATCCGACTGACGAGCAGCTCCTTCGGCGGTTTGCCGCTGGAGTTTATTAACGAGATTTTTTATTCTTTTCTTTCTCTCCCTCAGGCGCCGAGAGAGAAATAGCCTCTCCAGTTCTCACGGACCCACGGAGCGCGAAGGGTCATGTGCGAGAGGTTAAACCATGATCAAGCTTTTCGAACCCCTAGTAGATCCAAATACCCTGTAAAAAGACTCGCAAACATATACCACACCCTATAGGCTCGAGATAGCGCCTTTCGGAACGGGGGTTGAACATCATCACGTGATCGCGTGCAACTCGGAGAAGGCTCGCCGTGCTGTGAATGAGCTTCGAGCACAAGTCAAACTCCAAGTCAATCGCATGCATGCTTCTTGGCAGATCCGTGTGGGGCCTCCGAGGAGCGCGCGGCTCGCTCCCGTCGGTCGCAGGAAAAAACACTCGTCATATTATCCTACTAATTACTTAGTCTGCGTAAGTGCAAAAATAGTCCGAGTGATTACATATTAGTTGCACAGCCTCATACTGGAGATACGGAGGCGACCTAAGCCATCAAGTCAACCATGATAGTGACGATGCCCAGCACTTGATAGGTACCGAGTCAGTCGGCTGCACCAGCTCAAGCTCAGTCACATACCGACTTCAATCGCGATCAGCGCAATCACGATTTCTTCCAGCCGCTCGGAATGCCGACTCGAAACAGACTCCTTCAGCAGATCTAGCAGATCTTGGAGAACCTAGAAATTCGTCAAAATAGGAAGCAACATCAAGCCCAGACAGATACTGACTTCGACCCGAGTATTCAGCAGGTTGATTCGCTGAGGTATCTCTAGATAGCTCCTCGCAGCCTCGTACAAGGGCTGCAGGTCGGGAAAACTCTGTCGATGTGCTCACGTAAGCCTATCATCGCAACAAACACATCTGGAGATGAATCATACCCAAAAGACTTCCTGAGCACTAGTCAATGACAGTCCATGTGAAGCGAGGAGAAAAGTACCGGTGAGTCCAGGACGGATCCGACAGTGTTGATGTTGGTCCTCAACAAAAACAGCTGTCCAATTTTCTGCATGATTTCTGCCAGAGATCAGACAATCATCCAAGTGAGGCCTGGAATGCAACCCACCTTTGTGAGGCATGCCAACTTTGCCGCTGGTAGCTATTATCTCAGGTATATCCTTCGTCTCTTCGATATTAGATGATATAAGCTGTTCAAACTGAGATAGTGCATGAGTAGGCATCCGGCAGGGAGAAAAGAGACGCACTAGAGATATCTTGACAGACTGCGCCAACGCATGAGACAGCGAAAGCTTCGTCCTGCCCAACATGTCAGACGCAATGGAGAGATTGTCAATCCCACGGACTGACATATAGCTGGAGCCCTTTCTAAGCGTGATCACGTCGTTGTAGATACTGCAGGGTGTCAAGCGTAATCCAGAAATGGGGGCACGAATGAGCTGACCGACTGTAGTTCGCGTAATAGAAGTTCAAGTCCTCCATTTCTATCGCGTCCGCAGCTGCAGACCTCGTCAGTCGGCTCACCCAGATGTCTTGCCTGCCAAGTACGCACGAAGCCGCTCATTCTCGAATCGCTTGCTACAGAGTCTGTCAGTCCACGCCAGACTTGACAACACACGGATGACGTACATCGAGGACAAGAAACGTCTCTCTTGCGCCTCTGTCATCCCCCAGATCACGACTGTCCCGTACTCGAAGAGGAATATCTCGGCTTCCGCCGTCGTAGTATCGAACTTGCTCCGTTTTCTACTCGGTTCCTGCGACTCTTCATCCTCTTGATGCAGCTCGGGGATCCCGAGCAAGTCGCCGGTCTGCGACTGAGCCTTCGGAGGAGGAGATGACCCCATCAGAGTAGAGCTACGGTCGCTGGCAGTCGACGGTCTGTACATGTAAGGCGTGTATATGCATTCGTCGATGACCTTCGCGTTCGTGCTGTACGCGGTCCTTCTCGCATTCAAGAACTGACGAGAGGTTTGATAAAAGTGATGCACCCAAGTGTAGGAACACGCACCTCTAGTAATGGCTTCATGCGATACGAACTAGTGACATCATCGACTTAGGACGGAGACCAAAATGCACCACACACACCTGGCTGTCGAGTACGCGGTGACTCTGGGGAGCGACTTGGCCTTTGCCTTCGTCAGCTTACGCGCATCTCTTTTGGCCGTCCCGTCCGGGATGAGGGATAGCTGGTTGTAGACCTAGGCGACAAGCGAAGTAAGGTGATGATATGTCTCTAGCCGCTCGGATCGTACCTCGGGCTCGTCGTCGTCTTCGACGTCAGCTTCATCAGAGTCCCCGGTGGTCCCCGTGCTTCCATCTGCCTCTGCAATTTCCTTGAGGCCTACTGGGCCAACGGCGTCTAGCGTGCGGTTGGCAACCTCGTCTGGTTGCTCAGGGAGCACCTTGAGCTTTCCCGCTGCCTTGGTTGATCGGTTTGCCCCGCGTGGCTTGGCTTCTTGTGCCGTCAGAGCAGAGGACATATTCAGAGCGCGCCGAGAGGGGTAAGGAAGTTGTGTGGGGCAGGCCCGGGAGAGTTTTGGCAACTTGCAAGCAAGCGATTCAAATTCGCTTCCGAATTAGGATGGTGAGCTTATTAGCAAGTGTGTGACAGTTGTGACGGACAAATGTCTTTTCCTGGACTCTCTCCCATCCTCCGCCGCACGCTGCTCGCGGCGCAACCTGCTTTCAGGTCGCGCGCCTACGCGTCAAAACTTGCGCCTGCCAAAGCATCGAACCGTGCGTGTCTCCCTCTCCAACGCGGATCCGAGTTTTGACTGCCGTCCTCAACCACCAGCCAACGCTCCTTCGTCTTGCACGCCGGACACCGTATTAGTTGGGGTGAACTACCTGAAGGGACAGGCACCCGTCCTCGCGAAGCCCGACGAAGAGTATCCCGACTGGTTGTGGAACGTGCTGAAGCCGCGGGTGTGGCCAGAGGATGGGCCTGGCGGACGGGCAGAGCGGGCGGAACGCAGGAAAGAAAACAAGCGCAGGATCAGGGATGCGAACTTCATGTCCACGCAATAGACGCGTTAGTGCGAGGCTCCCGTCATTCCCCCGTTCGTCCATTGCTTCATTTATGTATGTGTAGTGCCATCCATCACCACGCTGCCAACCCAATGCGTCCGTAATGCATTATGTTCCACCCCCGTCGAATCGCCGACGACGTCGTGGCCACGGTCTACACGGCAAGCTCCTCGCTGTTACGTTGAGCGTGCGGTGGTCGTACGTGCATAGGACCATACCTTGTATTATAGCATAGTCCTCCACTTATTTTGGGTCGCGCACGATCTGCTCATCAATTACAATATATGAGTCTTGACTTCATTCTACAAGGCTTCATTGCGTAGAACCGTCTGACTTCTCTCTCGTATTGTGTGTTTGTGAACGCCAAGTTCTCGAGATATCCGAAATTGAGTGATCTGCGGCTGCTGTGGCTGTTGTTGCACTTCACTTCCGACATCCATCCCATCTTCTACCGCAGCCCCGCGCGTTTCCCACGCGGCTGGTACCGCTGTTCCGCCTCCCCCGCTCTTCCCTCGTACTGCGCGACCCTTGATGCCGAAACTGAATTTCAATACCGATGAAGCTTCGCTTCTGAAAGCATACAAGATTTCTACGCTCTACCCCACGTACATATACACTTGGCTCACCTCCGGCATGCGGCCCTCCTGATAGCAGAAACAGGAAATGGGAGGAAGTGGACCACGAGCTGGAGAACTCCATCGCGGGTGCGTTGGCCAGCAATGCCAACGGAGAGGGCGAGGGTGACCCGCTGGGTCTGGGGGCTACCGTCAAGTACGTCCATGTCGCCGCCAACGCGCTGCTTTCCTTCATCATTCTCGGGCCTGGATCGCTCACCTCCGCGCAGCGTCAGAGATATGGACATGGAGTCCAGTGCGTCAGAATGCTACTCTGAAATGTTGCAACAGCACTGAAACACGGCGGCGCGCTGGTTTAAAGAGGCGGCAGTTCTGATCACGTCGAAGTCGTTCGATCCTAAAGCGTTCCTGTCCGCTATCCACCCAAACGCAAAGTACCAAGATCTGGCCAACGGGATATCACATCTCCAGGCTTCCATCGACTCGCGCTCCGAAGCGATCCGGATTCTGGTGGAAGACAACTTCGATAGATTCGTGGCGGTCAAGGCTTCGACAGATGGTGCGCACACGAGCTGCACCGCCAGACCGCGTCGGGACTACTGATCCATCGGTTTTAGCTCTCTACTCGGAGATGAAGGAGGGTCTGCTCGCCCCGCAGACCAACTACGGATCGGTTCCGCTGCGTGATCACCTCAAAGGCATACTCCTCCACTTTCACCTTTCAGCAACCCGTGTCCTAATTCGCGCCTTTAACAGCCGCTGCTGTGAAAGCAGATCAAGTCTTCTTGCCGGGATTGGAGAATGCCTCCAAGGCCCATAAGCTGCGAACGACATTGAACATATTCGAGCGCTCAAAGTCATTCTTCAATCTTCCTGGATTCATCATTGAGTCCATCGAAGCCGTTAGTCTTCCTTTCGATTGCATCAAAAAGCTGAGCTGAACGCTTGCGCAGGGCCGATATGAGCTGGCGATGCGCGAGTATAAGAAGGGAAAACTGCTTCTAGAGACCCGGCCGGGCCAACTTCTTCCCATTAATCCTTCGAAGGATGGGCAAGTGTCGATTGCCGACGAACAGCAGCAGAAACGCGTCCTGGATAAAGTCTGGGGCAGCGTCGAGAAGGCCATGGGTGAAATGCGGAACGTGCTGCTCGCTCAGCTCCAGGATCCTGCACGCAGCGTGGAGGAGCACGAGAAGACGCTAGAGTGGGTGGCGATGTGCCGCGGCGAATGTTTGTGCTTACATGTCGCGTTCAAGGATCCTCATGGAGGTACAAATGGTTGAGGACCCGGCTTGGACCTACTTCGATGCCCAACACGCGCATGTTATCAAGCAAATGAATGTCGCGTACAAGTCTTCCGTGGCTGCCGTCGAAGGTGAACAGCATTTCACGGCTTCGAGGATGACGCAGGAAGCGTACTCATGATCATCCACTCCTTGCAGCTACATTAGAGCAAACAGAGCCGGACGTGGCCGGACAAGATACTTTGACTGGTATCTTGGTGGCTCAGCTTCAAGTTGCCATCGCAGCACTAGATAATAAACAGTCAGAGGAAGCGGTCGGTGCGTGCTTTATGATGCATCGCTGAGCTCGCACTCAATCAATGTTCGCAGCCAAGTCTGCCGCCGAGCCAGCTTGGAACAGGATCTCCGAGTTGGTCAAGGTATTGTCCGAGATTGTGATCACATCTCTGCCCGGCTTCTGGCGGATATCCAAAAGCTTCATAGAAGGCAAATATAAGAAGGTATGCGCGGTGATGCACATTCATATCTTTCTGTCTGACACACCGGCAGCCCCAGTCGAGCTCGCGCAGAAGCCCGACGCAGTGCCGAACGATGGCATTAGACATCATCAAGTTATATATATCCCTGCTCTCGCAGTTCTTCACGTTGTCCGACATGGCGGTAATGATGTCCCCCAATGGATCGACGAAATCGCCGACGCTGCCTTCCAACTCCAACTCCCTGTGCACCGCACACTATCTGACGAAGATTCTCGGCGAGATCCAAGATACTGTAAACGAGATAAATGGGATGGAAATCGCCAGTGATTCTGAGTCGGGACTGAAGAGTTTACTTGAGACCGCTAAGTGGAGGTTCGAGGATCTGCTGATATCGGCCTGGCTGCGAGGTGCGTTTCTCGAGCCGCCTGTCTCTGCTTCGAGCTGACGACCATTGCAGACGCGAATCTTTTGTATTACCTCGAGGAGTGGATCGCCAGCCCTAACGATCCGTCTGCCACACACTACCTGACCCAGATGGAACTCTTCCAGCGGCAGGTCACAACTGCAGCCTTCAAACTTGCGGGCGGTGTAGACCTCGCGTCGACTACGCTATCCAAGCCGGCTCGGCAGCACCCGATTCCTGGTGCTTTCACGACCAAGATTACCAAGGCGTTTATAGACGCGCTGTATGCTTTTATGGATGGCTTGGTCCATCTTGCGTCTGAAGAGTCGCCTGTCGTGAAAGGCAAGATCCCGCACACGGATGCAGCTGGCGGCCCGGGTGGAACGAACCCCCTCGAGCTGTTGGATCTGATGGATGGGGACACTCGCCTGCTGTTAGTCATCTCTAACCTCGGACATCTTGGGAATGCGATATTGCCGAGCATGATCACGCAGCTGGAATCCGCATTCGGGATCACGATTGCTGAGGACCGACAGGTGCGCGCGGCAATTCCCCCCATCTTTCTATCAGACTCAGGTGTTCTGTTCAGACGTTGATGAGGGTCGTGCAAGAGCTGGACAGGACACTTTCCGATGGATATACGAAGCCCAAGGTCGAGAATGTAACTACGATCATCAGGAATGGCATCCTCGACCCGCAGATGGACTGGTACGAGACCCCGCAGCCGACTGGTGCGTCCATCTGCTTGCCACAGATGCTGGACATGCCGCTGACGATGTGCAGAAATACGACCCTACATGTACGAAGCGTTGATATTTCTAGTCAGCGTCCATGCGCAGGTGTCCGGTATCTCGGAGGGGCTGCTCACGCGCATCCTCACGATGCTCGTCGAAGCATTGGCTGCGCAGGCCTTCGTTTCGTTCAAAGAGGTTCCGCGGTTCGGGATGGGGGGAATGCTGCGGGCCACGCTCGAGATTGAGTTCATGCACCAGACGTTGGGGCGTTACGTCAGTCCTGCTGCAGCCAAGCAGCTGGGCGAGCTGTACACCAATATCTCCAAGGCTTATTCGAAGAGACCGGGCGACGAGGGGCTGCAAGGCAGTTTGGACGGCGTGAAGCGCACTTTATCTGATACCCGCAGGGCCACTGGGATCGAGTTTCTGTGCTTCAGAGCGACCAAACCTGCCAAGAAGAAGGAAAAATGATCCCTGTATAGTATTATTGTCTGTGTCGATACCCGAGCTACGTCCATGTGTGTTCTTGACTCAGATATGGACGAGCCATGAAACGGACGTTGTCTCGTTGCAACTTGGCCTTCGGCTGAGTCCAGGAATCCACCCAAGCCGTAAAGACGAAAGATGCGGTTCTATTTATCGTAAATCAGCTCATCCGTCAGCATAAGCTCCGGGCTATGTTGTCAGATGATCCTGCAGCCATCGAACAGGTTGGGTCTTTCGTCCGTTCAGCATTCTGCTGGAAGCCACTGTGCTCCAGAGATGGCATGCTCATCGTAAGGTAGCTCGAGGCAGCTTTCCACGCATATAAATTTATCCAAAAATGGCTCCATGTTTGTGTCAGAATTCGAGGCCCCGCGGCAGTAGATCCATCGTGCACTCCACGGTAACAAAAGTGCATGACCTAATCGCAAAGACCCAGCCTTCGACAATCTCGTTGCTCTCTAGGACATCGTTCGATAGATACGTCACGAGCTGACTCTTGCATCTTGCGGGATTGTTCTTGCTTTGGGCGAATATTTGACGGAGAACAATGAGTGGACTCTTGGAGGGCACGGCGGGGCTCAAAAAGTGGTTTTAAAGATAATACTGATCGGTACTAACCGAGCGCAGAAGATTCTCGCTGGAACGATTGACAATTCCCTTGTCCACTCCCTCGAGGCCTCTCTGTCAAGGCCGAACTTGGATTCAAAGGAGCTTCACTTGCCAACATTTCCGCATGATTCATCCACTTGGATGATGCCACTAGTTGAAATTTTTGAACGAGCAAGTGATGTGGGCTTTTCAGCTCCCAGAATTTTCACTGTGTGCTTGCCATACGTTGCATGTAACTCCTTGTATGCACTTGGTGCACTGGTTGGATCTAAGTATCTCCTCTCAATTGCTGACATAATGAGTAAATCACAACAAGGCACGCACCCATGCTCCGACCCCATTTGCGACCAAATTTCCGTTCTCTCGCTAACAACACTTTTACCCACACTCGTTCCATTACGAGGCTGCCATTAAAAGGAATGCGCTGACCGGTCGCATCCGAACGATATACACCTATCCATCCAGGCCCGCGTC